CGTTGATAACCAGTCTGAACGAGGATCGGTGAGAGCAACATCTGTGGAACCCTCCACCGAGGATGAGGATAAGAACCTCTTCGCCGATGAAACCCCCCGACCTGTCAAGGTCGACCCGTTGTCCCTGCCCACCCCCAGAGTAACTGGCGCCTACGTCGAGACGCCTGCGACGACCCGAGTTGAACACGTCCAAGAAGACATCAAGCCCTTGACCAGGCCCGAGACGACATCAACGGCAAACGACAGCAGGCCACCGACTCGTCGAGGCTCGCGCCCTCCATCCCGGGCAGGCTCTTTCTTCAAAGCAGGCGAAGCAGGTCCCGAAGCCAGCGGTGACAAAGAGCAGTGGCCACAATCCACGGGGACAGCCACAACCTCCACACTGCGACGTCGCACTAGGTCAACTTCGCGGCCACGCCCTCCTCTAACCAACTCGGTTAAGCCGCCTACTGTCAAAGATGACATCCTTGAGCTTCAGCGTAGACATCAGATCGAAGACTCGACTCTCGACGATTTCGAAGAAATGTTCAACTTGCAAACACTTCAAAGCACAACTCCCCCTGAAATCGAGTCTATACTTGACGAGATCTCGATGAAGAGAGAGGAAGTCGCGGCGAAGCCAAACCTCACAAAGACGGAACGAGATCAAGAACTGGAGCAATACGACAGGATGAGCAAGACGTTGAAAGATGGACTTCTCAGCATCCGCACAGCCAAGCAGGGCATCGAGCGGTTGGAGGGCCAGGTATCCCATGCCGAGGGCAAACAGGGCGATAGAGCAACGGTTGGGGAGGGCTCAGAGGAGCAGCAATCCGAAAAGCCGTCGCATCATCGTCACCACCCAGATCACGCTCGCGACTGCCCAGATTGTGTCAGAGGCACTCCTGTCAAAGAGGTCTCGTACCTTCACCTTCCTGTGCCGAGCCTCTATAGGCGCAAGCCTTTCCGGTTGACTTTCGTCGGCCTGGTTTTCCTCATCGTCTCACTATGGTACGCTGCCGAGTCGGTCATGTGCGAGTTTTACTGCCGACCTGCTACCTGCTCCTCAACACCATGTGTCTGGTCCTCGACAGACCCGACCTGGGGTGTTGCCATCCCGGTGAAGCTCGACGAGTGGGCCACAAACGGGTGGGGTCGCCAGGTCGCCAACCAGTTCTCTGAAGAGGCTTCAGATCTTTGGGCAGACGCTGTAGACTTTGTCACCGGCACCGATATTACCACTGTCGATATGAACACCCTCGGCTTCTACGAAAAGCGGCAACACCGCCGCCGCCTCCGCAAGAGGGGACTATTGAAGCCGCTCGCGGAGTCGTCAGAGGACAGGGCCAAATGGGATGCTTGGCACGCTGCGCGCGTAGCCAGCGAGAGAGTGGAGCATGCAAGGGAGATGGGGTATGATATCAGCGAGGCAGACGAGAGCTTTGGAGGCGACGAGATGCTGTGAGGAGGTAATACTAGCCGTTGTACATTACTGATTCATATGCTGTGGTTTCGCCAGACCGCAGCATGCTGGATATGGCATTCGGGGGGCATAGGACGCCCTTTGGTACTCAAATATTTGCAAGAAACTCTGGTCTCTTTGGCTTACACTTGATAGTATGACGAGTTGGAATGTTGGACCGCCGTGTCACCACCGGCTGAGCCCAGCGAAAACTACAGAGTGACATGTGTAAAGTTGGCCGTGTGCACAAAAGCATAACCGTGACCAATCGAAAGATGGAAACTGTTCGAAATATCTGACAGAAGCAGATGTCCACAATTCTGAGGCCGTGGAACGCCGTTGAAAAGACATTGTGCTGCGTTCCGATGCACCCTCCACTTACAGGATCCGGGAACCCCCCACCCGCGAAAAGCAAACTCTCGGACAAAAGTTCACCACGGCGCTTAGGGATTTTCATGAACGGCTTACTCGTTGGCAGGATTGAAAATCGTAGTCGAACCACAAGCGTATTACAAATAAGGCGGCGGACAACCCCTCATCTACTACCCAAGTCGCCAAGCCACACAGTCGCCATGGAGGGCTTACAAATGCAACGATAACATCATCACTTGTACACACGCGCCTATATCATTCACTCAGGTCCCCTTCCTGGGCTATGGCCCCATACACTGTTCGCAAGCATTCAATCTTCGGTTTTTAAGAGTAATTAAAACAAAAGAGCACCAAAACCGATCCTCTCAAAAATGGCACCCATCCGCGTCGGCATCATCGGGCTCTCCTCCTCCGCCAAGACGGCCTGGGCGAGCAGCGCCCACCTCCCCTACCTCCTCTCCTCGCGCGGCCGCTCCAAGTACGCCATCACGGCCCTCTGCAACTCGAGCGTCGAAGCCGCCCGCCGCGCCATTGGGGTGTACGGCCTCCCTGCCGCGACCAAGGCCTACGGCAGCCCCGCGGACCTGGCCGCCGACTCGGACATCGACCTCGTCGTCGTCTGTACGCGCGTCGACCAGCACTACGACACGGCGTTGCCGAGCTTGCGGGCTGGCCAGAACGTGTACGTCGAGTGGCCGCTTGCGGAGAACGCCGGGCGCGCGCGGGAGCTGGCGGACGCCGCGCGGGCGAGCGGGGTCCGGACGGCGGTCGGCGTGCAGGGGCGGTTCGCACCGGCGCTTCTCAAGGTCCGGAGCCTTTTGGAGGAGGGGCGGATCGGGAAGGTCCTGAGCAGCGAGGTCAGGGCCGCCGGCGGCACGCTCGACCGCGAAATGTTCCCGCCTGGATTGAAGTACTTCACCCACCGTGAGATTGGGGGGAACATCGTCACCATCGGGTTCGGCCACTGTAAGTCAAGCGATGCTTCCGTTCGATTCGTGCGGGTTATACGCGCGTTTGTGTTTGCGTGACTGGCTGATAGGGATGTCTTCAAGTGTTTGACCAAATCCAATACGCTTTGGGCGAGGCAACCATCCAGCAAAGCCACGCCCAGATCCAGCGACCCAACGTCCGCATCCGCGACCCGGCGACCCGGCAGATCGTTGAGACGGTCCCGACCGACGTCCCCGACCTGCTCGCCGTGACCGCGACGCTCCCAGCCTCGGACTTCGTCGCCCCGGACGCCACGCTCCTCGCGCGCTTCCGCCGCGGCCAGCCGTTTCCCGGCGACCCGCAGCTCTTGTGGACTATCCACGGCGAGCGGGGCGAGATCCGCCTCACGTCCCAGAACAGCGTGGCGCTGCAGGCGTTCGCCGACGGCGACGCGGTGCGGATCGAGGTCCACGACTTCGCGAGCGACAAGGTCGAGCGGGTCGCGTGGGCTTGGGCGGACTGGCAGGACGAGCTGCCCGTGCCTGCCCGGTGCATCGGGGCCGTATACGAGGCCTTCGCACAGGGGGAGGGGGCGGCCGGGCTGCTGGCGAGCTTTGATGATGCCCTCAGGAGGCACGAGCAGCTGGCCGGCCTACCCTCGAGTTCTGGCTGAGCGGGCTGCGCCGTGGGGATGAAAACGAGTCGGTGGCGGCAGGAGTCTACGTTTCTGTCAATGAGGCACTCGCGTGCTTGGGTGCTTTAGTGTCAATAGTTTAGCCAGTCCAAATATCCCGAAGCAGTTGCAATTTCAGCTATTTCGTTTTGCTAAACCTTGTGCGGATTTTTGGTGTCGAAGTCTTCCGACTTGGTTGACTCATTCGGTGGCGGCACCAACATTCAGTGAGGCGGGCCAAGGCTCAATCGCATTAAAGATCTTACCAGTGCCGGAAGAAAACGGCGAGCATTTCATATACGAAGACCTTCAGTTCAAAGTCTGCAGAATTATACCTAATTTCTTCCTTGGGCTCCGCTCTGACTGGTGTAAAAGCTGAGGCTCACATATAACAATGAACGCTTCACAAGAATAACACAATTCCTTGTTTAAGTTGCTGCTGAGTTACACGAGATCAAGCTATCCTCAGCTTTCGCGGGCATCAAATCATCAACACAATCTTGACACCGCACCTTCAAAACGGTGTTATATGACGGAAAGCCTGGCTAGAAGAGATATAATACCGTCGTCAACCACACATTCCTGTTTCTCATTTTCATTGATACGACGCGAGTAGAAGTCGCAAGTCCCTCGCTGACAAACATAGTGAAGTCCACCGGGTGGGTTGCGTTCACGACCAGTAACTTGCATCCTACTGGGGCAACCACAATTGCAATGAGGGTTGCTTGTGTGACAACCTCGAAGACCCGTAAGACAGCCGGAATTGTCTTAGCAGCAACATATGTAGTACGGTCTGTCGGCGTTGCCTTTTCGGTTGGATGCTCTTGTGATTCGGAGTCTACTCTGCGCTCCATACTCTAGACAGTCGGGAGGCGGGCATATCCTCCATTGCCACTGCAGGCGGTGCAACTCGGAAAATCCTGGTCATATTGGATTCCAGGCTTGATGAAGTACCTACGCCATTAGCTTGGAGGTAGGCCGGTACAGTTCTGATCATACCTTGATGACAAGCGAGATTCGACGGATAATAAGGGATGTACAGATATTGGGTATATGGAGATGTCAGCGAGAATGAGGTCTAAACACACTGCAGGTTTATGAGACTCTTATACGGCTTCCTAGAATTACATGCTTCACGAATAAAGTCTGCTTCTCACAGCAACCCAAGCTTAGAGGCCAAAATTTCCGATTCGTTTCACCAATATAATCATATCTCAAACTTTGCGCAATAGCAAAGTCTTTACTGACAGATTATAAGGATCCATCGTAGTCCTACAGTGGGCTGCATCCGAAACCACGCTTTGATGCCGTATCAAGGCATCCGACGTAAGGAGGTTACATTTAATAATATCTAGAGACCGGCTGTTAGTCAGAGAGATACGCTAGCTGAACGGATCCAAAGTTTCCCTTGCTTTCAGACAACAATATATGCGTGCACGGTAGTTAACCGGATAGATTGCCTTGGGTACCAACTCTATGGAGGGCTCTTGAGTAGACACTACTCTCATATCAGACACATAAATCGATGTGTTGGCCCGCCTACCTTTCCTCATGTCTGCTTCGTTCATCTCACGATTGAAAGATGTTTGTATCAAGGCAATCTTGCTGGTTGACTCATCCGGCAGCCTCATGCAGTTTTGAGTTGACTCATCCCGCGGCCCCGTATGCTGCCTAACGCAGTTTGGACCGCGGCCTTTGTCTACAACATAAAACAAGACGAACCACCCAAACCCGTAGCTTGATCGACTTTTTCAAAAGCGAATAAAAAAACCCACACCCGCGTCCGCATATATTAACCCCGCCCCCTCAACATGGAGACATCGCCAATCTATTTCTGGGGCGAGACCGGCCAAGAAGGCTACCTCTCCCAGTGGTGGGCCAGAGACCCCTTCACCTCCTCTTCGCCCCCCGTAACCTTCAAGACCGCGGAGCACTACATGATGTACGGCAAGGCCCTCCTCTTCGGCGACGGCGACGCCGCGCGGGCGGTCCTCCGGACGGACCACCCGCGCGAAGTGAAGGCGCTCGGCCGCCGGGTGAGGGGCTTCAACGAGGCGCTGTGGAAGTCCCATAGGGAGCGCATCGTCCGCGAGGGGAACCTGCTCAAGTTCCGCTGCGCGCCAGAGCTGCGGGAGAAGCTGCTGGCGACGGGCGAGCGGGAGCTGATCGAGGCGAGCCCGCGGGACCGCGTCTGGGGCATCGGGTTCAGCCCCGAGGAGGCGCCGTCGACTGACCGGCGTCTGTGGGGTTTGAACCTGCTCGGCAAGGTGTTGATGGAGGTCAGGGCGGCGTTGAGGGAGGAGCAGGAGATGGAGAGGGAGAGGGAGGACGGGAATAGCAGGGCTCGTGCGAAGAGGCAACGAGACTAGGCGCAGGATGTCGCAGCGTAGGGTGAGGAGCGGACGGTCCTGTCAAGACGGATGGCGGGAGGGGGACAGGGAGACTGTTCGGAGCTTTGCTTGGGGTGGGGACGCTTGGGTCTCGTGGTATTACATCGCAAATATGGTAATCGCCTCTCCTACAACGAGAGACATCTCTCTTCTACACGTACACACACATATAGCCTTCAAGAGCGGTGTTGGTTGTTTTCTTCTCCCTCCTGCCGACCGCGCTTCGCCATTGTAGCAACATCGCCCAATGTTCGCCAGTTCCCATATGCCCTCGGATCTATTTTTTGTACAAGTAATAAAACACTTTTTTTGTCGGCTGAAAGGGGTTTTTTTTTCTCTCTTAACGAGGGGAGGGATATTCTGTTCATCATCCAATATCCTCGAGCCTGCCTCGCGGTTACAGTCAAGAGAAAGACAAGGCCCCATCCCAAAGGAGGAGAGGGGCCACGTCTGTGGTTCTCAATGGTTGGTTAGCTTAGTAGTAGTCCTTTCCACTCTTCTGCATCTCAATGAGACGCCATCCTCTCGTCTCGGGGTTGCTGACGTCCTCCGGCACGCGGGTGATGCCGATGGCGTATGTCACCAACTGCACCTTGTCCTCCATGCCGGCCGCGAGCTCGCCAGACTTGGCATTGCGGTAGACGTGGACCTCCTGCGTCCTGCAAGTGATGACGAAGACGGGGATTTCACCGGGTTCGAGCATGCGTGCGCGGACAATGTCGACGTGGCGGATATCGAGGATCTTGCCGTCCGACTTCAGGCCGGCTGTCAGATATTGCTTCGTCAGAGCCTCGTATACGGAGTACTGGGCCTCAGACAGCCAGAGCTTCAGGGTTTCGATGTCGCCCTTGACGTAGGCATCGAGAACCTCGGGCAGAATGTATTCGCGGAGCTCCTTCAGGAAAGGTTCCGTCTGGAAGTTGGGATCCATTGAGCGGAACTTCTTGATGACCTGCGCGGTCTCGTTCTCGGCGAACCAGCCTCCAATCTTGTCCGTGACCAGTCGTGCGGTCTCGATGAGGGGATTGTCGGATTCGCGGTATACCTTGCCGGCGCTGAAGAAACCCTGGGCGAACTTGTTGGAGTCCTTGAAATCCCTCCACGCCTCCTTCCACGCAGCGTCCTTGTGAATCGTAACATTGGTGCCGGCACTTTGCTGAGGTTAGTTGAGTGCTGTAAAAATGAGTTCCTGTCAACTTACTTGGGGTCCTCCTCAAAGATCTCGGGCTTGCCGGACTTGAGCGCCTCGGCCTCACGCTTCTTCCTACGTTCCTCCTTCTCAACCCAACCGCCGTAGCGGGAGCTGCTGCCATCATCGATGACTTCTTTGACGTTCTTATATGCCTCGGTCTCACGGATAGGCTTCGTCGCCTTGTCAAGGGCGTCTCCCGTGACGTTGGCGACCTTGCGGACGCCCTTCATCGCGGTAGTGTCCCAAGTCCAGGCGGCACCCTTGCCGATTGCTCCAGCAGTGGTTTTAACAGCGGTGGTTGCAGCGGAAGAAATGGCACCAGACGACTTCTCGTAGGCCTCGCGGGCCTTGCGAACCCTCTCGCTCTCGGTGAAATCCTGGATTTCCCCAGAAAGAGCCTTTGTCGACTCGTTCCACTCCTTGGACTTGCTGAACTCGGTCTGCAGCGTCTCTCTGAAAACCTCCCATGGAGTCTTGTCGCCGTGGGGCGGAGGGGGCGGCGCGTCATCCTTCTTTTGCTTCTGCTCGCCCTCTTGACCTTCCTCTTTCCCCTCGGTCTTCTCCTCGCCCTCCTTCTTCTCGGAGGACTCGTCTTTGGCCTCCGACTCGGCTTCCTTGGTCTTCGTCTCCTCGGAGGACTTGGGCTTTTCGGTCTCCTGCTTCTGGAGCTGTCGGGCCGTCATGTGGAAGGAGCGCGATTGCATCGAGCTCGAGATAAAGCGGACATCTTCGGGGAGGAACTGCGACCGCAGCGGGGTGGTTCGGAATGCGGATGGTTGTCGTGAGAATGCTAGCGCAGCGTTGCCACTGAGCTCTGTAGATAGTAACCGGCTGTATGCGGGCGCCCTGCTGTGGGTTTGGACCGCTCGCGCGGAAGCTCTGACAAGAGCATTCTGAGGATTGCTCCTCGCTGCTTGCACTAAAGAGTTCATAATGTGGAGGTTCCAAGCCGACCGCCTCCCGACGATGAGCAAAGAAAGAGACAGGAAAAAAGAGGAAAAGGAAGAGGGGGCGGAACAGAGATGCGGATGACGATTCGGGGAGGGGGGCGAGTAATAGTGGCAGAGAAATTTTGGCTCGCGACAGGACGGAGTCCAGACTTTGGAAGCTCTGCGATTTCGGTTGCAGGCGGAGCGCGGAAAAATCTGGGCCCTGTTCACCCGAAGACGACCCGGCGCCCTGGGGTCCCTCGGCACCAATCAGACGACGCCAATGTCTCCAGGCTTTCAACAAGAGCTTTGCCAAATTTCTGAAAACTTCACGGGCCATCGTCACGGTGCAGGCTTTCCCAACTGCGACAGCTATCTCGCGATGAGTTCAGTACCGACGACCCGCCTCCTGGCGAGATCCATCTTCCAGAAAGCCGCTCGCACATCATCGATCGCGCGATGCTCTCCTGCCCTCCTCCGACCCTTCTCCCAGACCCCAACACCGCGCGCCGATGATGCGAAGACAGGAGGCCAGGCGCTCCTCGCCGCCATGTACGGCTCGCGCTCGCCAGCTGCCACGACGCCGAAAAATTCCGCCCCGAGCCCGACCAGTGAGACCACCAGCTCTCTGATCGACACTCTGAACCGTGCTACTAGCAGCTCTAGCAGCTTCAACTCAGGCCTCGACGATCTGGTTCCCGACCAAGAAGACTTGTTAGAGCCATACCACATGCACGTCTACTCCCACAAGCACAACACACATGTTACGGTCACAAAACCAGACCGCGGCGCTATCGTCTCCCTCTCGACCGGCAATATTGGCTTCAAGAAGGGCAAGAGAAGGGGTTATGATGCGGCATACCAGTTGACGGCATACGTCCTGGAGAAGTTGGTTTACGGGGGATGGCACAAGAAGATCAACAAGCTCGAGATCATACTGAGAGACTTCGGTGTCGGACGCGATGCGGCAGTCAGGGTGCTCATGGCCCCCGAAGGCAAGATTTGGAGAAGCAAGGTTGTCCGGGTGGCTGACTCGACGAGGCTAAAGTTTGGTGGAACGAAGAGCAAGAACCCGAGGCGTATCTAGCGGGACGGCAGCACGTGGCGGTTGGAAACTGTCGGGGACGCAACCAAACACATGTACAATATCTGTGAAACTGTACTATACATCGCAAGAGCAGTTTTCTTTGCATTCAGGTGTTTGCGTTGGGATGTAGATGTCCAACCCCCTCCCCCCTCTGGTATCAAGTCCTATATGCCGTTCAAACCCCCAAGCAAAACGCCAGTCCTGTAACCCCGAATATGCCGCATGGATCGTATCATCGTTGGCGACTATGGCCCTACTTGGGAGCAGGGGCCCTCTCCGCAGCAGGCAGATCGCGCCCTGCCGTATCCCTCACGGCCTTCTTGCCCTTGCCGTTGCCACCGCGGCGGCGCTCCTCCTCGCTGTCCCAGTCAGCATTGGCGGCTTGGCCCTTTACGCTCTCGGCAAGAAATCTGGGCGGCGACTGCTTCAGCATCCTAGAGCCTTCGTGTGCATGGTCGTCGTCCTCCTCCAAGAGGGCGCCGTCAGCCGTCTCGTACTCGGGCGGGTCGATCCAGTCGCGGGGGACGACGCATGGCAAAGCGACGCCGATGCTTGCCGCACGGTTCAGCCAGCCGGGTCCGGGGCGTCCGGTCAGCTTCTTGCATAGGTACGAGGTGAAGTGGTTGCAGTTCTTGGTCAAAAGGTTGTAGGAAGTGCCGAGGAATTCCCTGGAGGCTTCTTCTAGTATCGCATCGATCTCGGCCTGGGTCGCAAACGTGAAGCCGTGGAGGATCTCGGATTTGAAGGTGCCGCCAGGCGGCTCGGTCTTGGGCTTCGTCCAGTAGACTCCTGTCACTCCGCGTCGCTCGTGTCCGCCGTATGCGTACTCTCTGCCATTGATCACGACGCCCGAGTGAAGAAGCGAGGCTCCGACCGTCCAGAGAACGGATGATAATCGTCCGGGCTGGCGAATCAATTAGCACGCGCGGTGACGGTTCTATCAAGTATCAAGGTGGGTCCAGCAACTTACAGGAAGCAGATCGTAGACGTGGATGGTGACTTCGGTCTTTGACAGCGATAATGTCGATCTGTGCGACGCAACGGATTGCCTAGGATTGCTCGGTCGGGGAGCCATGTTCGACCAGCTGTGGAAGCGGCTTTCCCCCCTCTTCTTCTCACCCGCTCTCTTCTTTCCTTCTCCACAGCGTAGAACGTCGCAAGGCAGCACGAGTCGTTTCTTAATTGGGAGGAGGGGGGGCTTTCGGGCGTAAGATGAGACGAAGTAAGAAACGGAGCTGTTCAGGTCGAGAGAGGTACCCCGATGTGATAAGGATGGTTTTTAGGGGAGCGAGTGTGTAAATCTATACGGATAGCACAAAGGTGAATGGGATGTTTCGGTAATGAAACCGTCTCTGAATAACCAGCTGGCTGCGGCAACCATTATGCAGCCGGCAAAGAACAGTGTCTTCCTTCTCCTCCTCCTCCTCCTCCTCCTCCTCCTCCTCCTCCTCCTCCTCCTCCTCCTCAACACGCACCCGTCGGTTCGCCTCGCGGCTACTGGACATTGGCCGAACATTATTAGCTCGGCGGTGGCCGGCGCAGATGTTGGCTACACTACAAAGGCAATGCAAGGGTTGCTGTTACTGGTCGAGCAAAAATATACTTTGGGCAGACGGCACAGGCAGCACAAATTGGGCGCTGACTGGGGGGCCATCCAAGTACTCTTCACCGCAAGCGGGTTTCGCACGATGCGATCCAATGAGAAGCCGAGGAATGAGGTCAGAGGGTGCGGTGCAGCGAGTCGCGAAATGACATGCAGTGAGTGTCCCAGCCCCGCGCTTTCCTCTTCACGCTCCCAGCTACGTAAGGAGGTACGTACCCTGTAGATACCTAAGGTGTACTCCGTAAGGTGTCTGCCTACCCAGGTGATCAGGTAAGCACCTACCTTATGTAAGCTTCCAGTGTCCATATACACCATCCCGGCCGGCGTTTTATTCCTCCGTTTCGCCGAACACTTCAGCTCCTCCCCCCCGCGCCCCGTTGCTTTTTGGTGGGGCCGTTAAATTTCATCTACCAAGGCCACACATCCGCCAGGCGCAAAAGCTTTTTCTTCTCGATCAACAATCCTCGTGATTTCTTCCTCCTCTTTCTTCCTCTCTCTCTCTTCTTTACCGCTCTACTCTCCCAAGCTCGGGCAATCCGCGTGATTGAGGGCTGGTCGCACAGCCAGAGTCGCCAAAACGACGTCCTTCATCCTCTTCCCTCTCTTCGCTTCTCCATCCCCCTCTTTGCTCCCCCGCGCAGCTAGCTCTGCCTTTCGCCAAGCTTCAGTGCTCAAGTGCACCGTACTCTACAAAACCACTCGTCAGTACGCAAAATCAAGACGCACCATGCCTCCCAAGAAGCAAGTCGTCGAAGAGAAGATTCTCCTGGGCAGGCCCGGTAACAACCTGAAGAGTGGAATTGTGGGTGCTACGCCTTAGAACCTGTGCGGGATCAGGCTGACCCCCTCTTCAGGTTGGCCTCGCAAATGTTGGAAAGTCCACCCTCTTCCAGGCCATTACCAAGTGCAACCTGGGAAACCCCGCCAACTTCCCCTATGCCACCATCGACCCCGAGGAGGCGCGCGTCATCGTCCCCGACGAACGCTATGATTGGCTTTGCGAAAAGTACAACCCCAAGTCGCGCGTCCCCGCCAACCTGACGGTCTACGATATCGCTGGCCTGACGCGAGGTGCCTCTACTGGTGCCGGTCTCGGTAACGCCTTCTTGTCGCACATCCGCGCCGTCGATGCCATCTTCCAGGTCGTTCGTTGCTTCGACGATGCCGAGATCATCCACGTCGAGGGTGACGTCAACCCCACTCGTGATCTCGAGATCATCAGCGATGAGCTGCGGATGAAGGACATTGAGTTCACCGAGAAGGCCCTTGAGAACCAGAAGAAGAAGACCCGCTCTGGCGGCAAGGGTCTTGAGCACAAGAAGGCCATGGAGGAGCAAGCCACCATGGAGAAGATTCTCCAGTTCCTCAAGGACGGCAACGAAGTCCGAAAGGGCAACTGGGGTCCCAAGGAGGTAAGACACCACTCATCTCGCGGTTTTTTTTTACTTCTTCCATGCCCTCCTACCAAGCAAACATGCGCACCCCCTGTCGAATGATGACAAAGGACCTATGGTCCGATAATCTTAACCCAGCTCTTCGAAGGCCAAAGGTCTACTGAGATAAGAAACCCATTCTGATACGACATGATGTTTTCTCACTTGATTCTGCCTGTTGATCTGCAAGATCTCAAGCTGACAATATCCTAGGTCGAAGTTATTAACCCCTTGTTCCTCCTGACTGCCAAGCCCGTCGTCTACCTGGTGAACCTTTCGGAGAAGGACTTCATTCGCAAGAAGAACAAGTACCTTCCCAAGGTCGCTGAGTGGGTCAAGGAGCACGCTCAGGGTGACCCCATCATTCCCATCTCTGTCTCCTTCGAGGAGCGTCTGACCCGCTTCGAGACTGAGGAGGAGTCCAAGGAGGAGCAGAAGAAGGTCGGCGCTGAGTCGGCTCTGCCCAAGATCATTCTTCAGATGCGCAAGGTCCTCAACCTTGGCAGCTTCTTCACCACCGGCACGGACGAGGTCCGCCAATGGACCATCCGCAACGGTACCAAGGCGCCCCAGGCTGCTGGTGTTATTCACACCGATTTCGAAAAGACCTTTATCCAGGCTCTCGTCTACAACTTCACGACCCTGAAGGAGCTTGGTAACGAAGCCGAGGTTAAGGCCAAGGGCAAAGTTATGACCAAGGGCAAGGACTACGTCGTGGAAGACGGAGACATCCTGCTCATCAAGGCCGGTGCTGCCAAGAGTTAGAGAACGAATATCCGATGGAAAATTCAGATATTAGGGTTGATCACAAAAGCTCTGCCTTTCGGTTTAGATATCCTCGCCGGTTAATAGAAGTCTTTTGTTACGCCACCTCTGCTGAACCCGAAGTGACTTTGTTTCCATAAATGTCCAATGTGATCAATCAATCTTGGGAGCTAGAAAACCACTCTTGCAGATGGCAGGATTTTATCGAAGAGGAGAGAGGGGAGGGGTATTGCTGGTGACGATCAGATAACCGCCATTTCTCCGACTTAACAGCACCCTAGCTCCCTCTCTGTTACTCACTTACAGTGCGGCACGGACCAGGTGACATGGGCACCTGGGCATTTCAGGGCCATGCGCATCTCCTTGCTCCTTCATCAACACCTCCCAAAACCATTGGATCTTGGGCCGACAATATGAGCCAGCCATCATTAAATCGCGGACATGGTCGGACCATATCAGTAACGAGAGGTAGGTCTTTTGTCTACTCGCTATACTTGATCGACTTCGCGGCCCCTCTTACGCTGTTGTGTACCCATGCCCTTCTGCTGTAGTGGTCCTCCAACGTGCGCTACAATTCGAACTAAGCTTGTGTCAGAGGGCAGCTGTGTAAGATGAGGCACATATGAAGCTGACAGTTAACCAACGTTTAGCTGTCCGTCCCAGGTCTTCTACCAAGGGTCCGCTGGACTTGAACGAGTGAGGCCCCCCTCTCATCCAAGTACGACTCATTGACTGATACGATCTCACAGCACGCCTCTGAATGACCCGTTGTCGCCCAAGGCCGCCGCTAAGGAAGAATCGGCGCAGCAGCGCCCGATATCTGGCCAACGCTCGCCGGCTATGCCGCATTCCCCGACACCGCCTGTGCAGACGGCCGTCACTAAGAACTTTGGCTTTCTCCTGCGTCCAGAGATTTACCATAATGTCAATCCGGCCAACATCCCGCTCGCCTTCAGAAACTCATCCAAGCAACCTCCAGCCGATGCGTCATTGGAAGACCTTGTGGCTAAAGGTCATTTCCGAGCGGCTGCCATCGCTGCCGTGCAAGAACTCACAGCGACGGGGGGGCCGGTGCGAGGTAGCGTTGACCCCTCAGACCATCATAGAATATTCAACCTGCTATACACGCGGCTAGCGTGCCTGACGCTCATCGACGCAACGTCGATAGCGGCGCAGGAGGTCAGGGCACTCGAAGACCTCAACGCCGGCATCTACATTGACGAGACCACCGGCGAACACCTCGTGCCTTGGGAGCTGCGGGTCCTCAATGTGCGGCTGCAGGCACTCGGGTTCAACGACCCGCGGAGGTCTGTAATGAGCTATCACGATTTGGCGAGGGAAGCGCGAGAGCAGATCATCAAGGCGAAGACCCGGCACGACAACTCGGCACGGGAGCTTTGGAAGGCACGGCTGACAGACCTGGGCATCAACGTTGCTAGCGCCCTAATCGAGATGGACGATCTGGCAGGTGCTGCGCATCACTTGAGGACGATCAAGGACCACGGCGACGGCAAGATGGCGCTGTCCCGAGCGCTTCTCTGGCTGCATCTCGGTGATACAGAGGCCGCACGTAGCTGTGTTCAGGATTTAGGAGAGGACGGAAAACATGCTGAGAGGGTCGTAACCGCACTTTGTCATATGGCCGACGGCGAATACGACACAGCATTGCAATCCTGGAAGGAACTGAAGGGGGAGTTGGATGATGAAATGGTTGGGGTCAACCTCGCAGTGTGCCTTCTTTACACTGGCAGGCTTACGGAGGTGAGAATCGTCTTTTGAATTCCACATGATGGTTTGCTGACCCCACAGGCCCGGTCCGTATTCGAGGACATGGTGAGCACTGGCTACTCCTCGCACACCCTTCTTTTCAACCTCAGCACGACGTACGAGCTCTGCACCGAGCGGAACCGCAATCTCAAGCTGAGACTCGTCGACAAGGTTGCCGACCTGAACGAGACACCGCGGGGCTGGGAAAAGAACAATGCCGATTTCAAGCTATAGAAAGGAAAAAACCAAAAGAGGGAAAGAAATAACAATAAATAGAATGTGTTGTTCACGTATCCGTGGGGTCCGAAGGATGGCACCCATCCAATTAGAGCCGAGCCATCGCCTCACTCGCAAGACACCCCCAATAAACTTGCCAATGAACGGTGCTTCGCACGGATTTTGCATGCGCAATCAGACGGTCGATCCGCTTACCAAGATGTTTAGTTGCGAGGCCTGCATGGTGTGGCAGAATGACAAACCATTTGCAAACAGACGATGCGCTAGTCAATACAGGAAGTGAAGCACGACGAGGGCGGAATTGGGAACCATCCAAAAGGTCGACAGATCCCCGCGGCTCCCGGTCTGGGGTCCGTTCTGTCCCCAATCATATCATGATCTTATATCTACTCGACGGGGGTGAGCTCAACAGCCTGAGGGTATCTGGGTGTCCTGTCACAAAAAGACTGCTTAGAGTCTTGCGACTAGATCAACCGTAAACTACACAGTTCCAACCGACGAGAGAATGGCGACAGAATTGCAGTCGCAGACGATCAGCCTCCTGGAAAAGATCGCGCAATCGCAAAGGGTATTGGAAGGGAGACTCGACGCGATAGAGAGGCTCCTCGGCCAACAGAAACCGGCGCCCTACTTTCCGCAATTCCGACGGCTGCCGCCCGAGCTAAGACACCGCATCTGGTCACTCGCCATCCCCACTCGGGTCCTGCGGCTATCGAGGCGGGCCAGCAAGAAGCACACAACACTGCACATGAGCCCCCCCGCCATCGCCCAGGCCTGCCGCGAGGCGCGAGCGGTAGCAACGCGAAACGGGGGGAACGTCTACCTTAAGCACGATACCGCCAACCCTGAGAGCCCCATACGGACGACCCGGCACTGGTTCGACAGCTGCCAAGACGTACTCGAGCTGGACAGGCGGGTCGACGTCGCGGGCGACAAGCCGCGCGGCAGCAGGGACCTCGTCCGCGACGCGCAGCATATCCTCGCCCCGCGCGCCGAGGCCGAGTGGTTCGCCCGCCTGTTCCGGCAGACGGCCCATCTCAGGAGGCTCAGCCTTATGTTTGACGCCGTCTCGGTCAGTTCCTGCGCCTGGGACTCCGGCGTTGTGAGGCGCCTCTTCGGCGACGCCGGCACCGTCGTCACCATGGACCTCGAGAACGCGGGCGAGATCGCGTGGGTCAAGGGCGTCTTGCGGGAGCACTGGAGGAACCCTGTGTTCTGCGCGTTCGACTTGGAGGCCTGGGCGAGGGAGAGAGGGTTCGGTGTCGGAACGGGTCCAAGAGATGAAGGTTGGATGCGGCGGTTGCCCAGAACGTGGATGAGCGAGGTCGCGAGAGGGTGGGTCATGGCCAAGGCGGAGGTGATGGCGGCGGAGATCGGAGGAGAGGCCGGAGGGTGGGTTGGAGGGGGAACGAAAGGGCAGCTGGACACGGAAGCGTCAGAGGCGCGAACACGGGCTTCTGCGGCGGCGACGTTGGATATGAAGGACGACTTCGTCAGGGCTGCGCTGCTGGCCATGCCCCAAGTGAAACTCGTAAGGGTGTTTTCCCACGCTGAGGTTCATGCTGGTTGTCGTCCATAACACCAACCCTCATATCAAAGTCTATTTCAAGCTCCAATGACGTCGAATAACCCCGAATTTTCAGCCTCGACTGAATCACCTCGGACTAGACATCTAAGAGTATATTGAGATGCTAGGTATGTTGAAAGAACTCTGATGTAGGGTTCTCCACTGGCACTGTTTGCCGTCAAGGGGGTATTTCCCAGGTTGCCCAGCCATCTGCGTCTTTTCCTCGCTCGTACGTAAAGCAAGAATCACCCTCGGTTGTTGGAGCGATCGATCTGCTGGAAAGACAGACTCTGCCACTCGGGCATTATGTCGAGCCCGTCGACACGCTGCAGCCACAACTTCGGGACGGGTCTTGTCTGTACACAGATCTCGTGCCAGGTCAGTAAGATTGAACCATTGATCTTGTTGTGGTGAACAAGGGCGTCTTGCCGCCTGTTATTCTCCCAATTCGTCTGTTAGGAGTCTTGGTCAGGTTTGAGGTGCAAGCGAAGACCTGGTGAGAAACGCTTGAAGCTCTAGGGTGAGCTGTCGGTCAGATCAAAGAGCATATCAACCTTCAAGACGAGGTACAAATCCAAGTGCTAGTTTCAGCTTGTCAGAGTCAGGAAGATCCGGAAGCCGATTACTGTTTCTCCTGGTTTGAGAAGGCGAAGGTTTGTCTGCGAGACAGGTCGGCAGAGGGATGGACATCGAGGTGCGCGCTTTCATATCAACACTGTATCCCAGCTGAACGTTCCGCTGTCGCCCAGGAACCACAGCGGCTCGGCGCAGATCTCTTGCCGCTGTAATGCATAGCCCCGCACCGTGCACACAGTGTGGCATCGAGCAAGAATCCGAGTTTCAACGTCCAATTTTCAACTGGCTCACTCACTCATTCACTCACATCGCCCTCAGTTACATACACGGCCCACGCCCAGTAGCCTCGTCGCGATGGTGAGGACACGACCTCGCAATAAAACAAGACGCGTCGCCGTCATAGACTATGGCTCAGATGGCGAGGCGCCCGATGTCCACGACGACCTTGACGATGAAAATTTCGAGGCGCCGCCCCGGGACCCTGAAGACGATGAAGATGACCCTATCGACGCCGACGGCGGCGACGACGATTTTGAGGCCGACGACCCTTCCGGCCTCGCACTGGACGGCCCGCGGAACGCCGATGATGACGATGAGGATGAGTTGCCCGCCTACACCAGGTCCGCCGGCCTGAAAAAACTACCAGTAGACATGGCCGCTCTCGGGACCTATCACGCCGATGGACGGCCTACGAGGCACTACACTGGCGCGCTGAAGCGAGGCCAGAGGATACAGGTCCTCGACTTCTTCTACGGGCCCCAGGAGGAGGCTGTCGGCGTTGCCACCTGGTTGCTGAACCGCTGGGCAGGGTACGCCGTTCTGCCAAGCAAGTTACCTGACGGGCCCGCGCCTCCGGTCCCGAGCCCCTGGCTGGACCCGGAGTTCGTCGAGGATCAGTGCCGGTCTGCGAAAGCGTGGTTTGAGAGACTGAAGGACGCCAAGGGGGCAAGCGAGGGCGAGAGGCAGATGAGCTTCGAGGAAGCCGAGGCGTATCGGCTTAAGCCTGGCGGTCATTTGGTGTCCGTGATTGGGCCGTACCTTGGCCAGCAAGAGGTCAAAATCACACCTTACGATGGTATTGTGCTGTCCGAGTCGGGACTGCCGTTTACGAGCCATGCTCCCACGGACGAAAAGCCGGCAGGGTGGATGTTTGACGTGGGCGGCATCGTCATCGGCATGGAATGGGCCAGCAGGACGAAACAGGAGGCGCAGGTCCTTGCGCTTGCTGTCATCCCGCATACAGATCACATATTGGATTTTGAGGGTGCTTACGATCAGAGCAAGGGAATCATCCAGCTGTGGGCGCTATGTGGCCAGAAGGATGAAAACGGCATCACGAGACCTCTTGCGAGCCCAGCCCGTCTTGCTCGAACCATCTGCTCCGACTGGGGTAGAGTCATGAGGCTCAAGTGGTGTCCGGTGGCATACAGGGAGAACGGCGCCATGGGCCTCCTCGCGGTGCTTTGTAGTGATGGCCAGGTCCATATTGTCGTGGTCAAGGACATTGGCGACGGCGAGCAGGATGCTTTCAGTAAGAGACCCCTATCCAACACCCAACTCCCTCCCTCTCTGGCCACCGCGTACTGATAGCCGGGCAAGCCAAACTTGAAAACCCTATCGTCTCCCTAGGAATTCCCTCCGAGACCAACGTGACCGCCACATGCTTCGCCTGGGTCAACACCAACCGCATCGTTCTCGGCCACTCGGACGGCTGCCTCACGCTGTGGTCCATCTCGCCGCGCATTCTCCTCGCACGCCACGACGTGCACTCGACGCGCGTGATGCACATTGACACGGCCTACCCCTCGGACCCCTACCTCGTTGCATCGACGCCCATCGCCGGCTACACTACGCTGGTCGACTTCTCCGACCCCTCGTGCGAGCGGACGAGCTTCCCCTGCTTCGCAATCACCCCGCAGCCGAACCTGCTCCAGTGGCACGACCACCTGCGGGGCTTCTTCACCGTCGTGCCGTCGGCGAATCCCCTCAACGCGTCGGTCGGCTTCGTCCACTCGCGGTGGTACGCGGCGCAGGTCCGCAAGGTCATGGACGGCGACCGGCTGCCCACCTGCCTCGCCGCGGGCATGCATCACCCCTTCGTCCTCGTCGGGTACATGGACGGCACCGTCTGGGCGGCGAACCCGTCCAACAGGATCTTTGCGTCGAAGCACCACTTCGGCCACAAGATGAAGATTATCGACCACCAGTATATCCCCCGCGAGCGGCTCAGCAGCTCAGTGCTGGAGCGGGATGGCGGCGGCGAAGGCGGAAGCTGCCGCGGCGCATCGCGGATTCTCCAGGGCTTCCGGCCGGTGCCCAACGTCAACCCCAAGGTGGACACGTGGAAGACTAAGGTGGCCCTCAACAAGAACAAGGACAAGAAGAAGGCCAAGAGGCCGAAAGCGAAGGGCAAGGGCAAAGGCAAGGGCAAGGGCAAGGCAGACGCGGAAGCGGCTGAAGAAGACGACGCGGACGTGCAGGGCGGCACGGAGGAAGGGGACGGGCACTTTGCGGACCCCAAGCGCGCGGTGATCTCGGAGCCGCTGACGCGGATCACGACCATGGCGTGGAACCCGAACCGGGAGTACTCGTGCTGGGCCGCGGTGGCGATGGCGTCGGGGCTGGTGAGGGTGATGGATCTCGGTTTGGAATGCTAGACACGGCCGGCGACGGCGAGCAGAGATGGGCGCACGCGTGAATGATACCCTCTATTTAAACAAAACATACTATCTATATATCTATATATGTGTGTGTCTCTCTCTAACCATGGACTCATGAAAAAAAAAAAAAACCTTTTCATAGTGGAAAGCGTTCGCGGTGAAGTTCCCGTCATAGACACAGCGAGCCCCTGACGCTGTGGTTGTAGTCAAAGGCCTTGGCCATGCCGTACAGGTGCGTGGCGGCGGCGGCGACGACGAAGAAGTGGAAGATCTGGTGGGAGCTGCCCCAGATGTCAAAGGTGCCGGGGAACGAGCGCTCCGGCCAGCGCAAGGCGTAGAGGAAGGCGCCAAAGATGTACATGGCGCCGTGCAGGACGACCCAGCTGAGGCTCATGCGGGCCTCCATCTCGGCGCGGCCGTAGATGGCGGCGCCGTGAAGGACGGGGACGACGCCCGAGGTGCCGAGGGCGATGAACATGCAGGCCCGGAACGTGCGCCACTCGGGCGCGCGGAAGAACTCGATCCAGGAGACGGCGCCGCAGCCGAGGCCGAGGAGGTTGATCTTTGGGATGGGCCGTTAGCATGTTTTTCCTTCTCTTCTCGAGTTGTGTGTGTGTGTGGGGGGAGAGAAGGGAGAAGGGGGGATGCGCGAGAGAGAGCATGAGCGAGCATGAGACTCACCATCGACAGGTAAAACTTCATCAGCCCGGGGTGGCAGTAGAAGCCGTAGTACAGGGCGGGCACGTAGCTGCCGACAATGAGGAAGACGATGCCCGAGTAGTCGAGCTTGTTGCCCCACTTGGCGACCTCGGGGGAGTGGTTGGAGATGGCGTGGTAGGTGGCGCTCATGCCGAGGCAGGCGACGGCGCCGGCGAAGAAGCAGGCGAAGACGAGCACGTCGGTGGGCGCGGCGGCGCCGTAGCGCGGGGCGACGACGCCGTGCAGGACGGCGCCGGCGACGAGGAAGGCGACGGCGCCGAGGAGGTGGGACCAGATGTTGACGGACTCGTTGTGCAGGTAGCCCAGGGACCGGAGGGAGCCGAGGTACGAGTTGGAGTCCGGGCGGTAGCCCGTCAGGATGAAGGCGTTGTCGCGGCGCCAGGCGGGGAGGTCGTCCCACAGGATCAGGAGAGCCTCCTCGACCTTCTTCTCGAGGCCGGCGACCGTCGATTCCACCGAGGACAGGAGGCCTTCGGCGGTGGCGGCGGAGGAGGACGGGCGGCGGTTCCGGTTCCTGACGACGCCGGGCGCGCCGTCGGCGGAGGGTTTAGAGGCGGTCATCTTTTTTTTTCTTTCTTTTTTTTTCTTTCTATGTTTTTTTTTGTGGCGAAGCAGCGCGATGTGCTTCCTCTGAAGCTGTGTGAGTGGGAATGGGATACTTTCGTGAGGAATTACAAGTTTATGAGGGTAGGGCTCTACGATTGCTCTTTTAAACGGAGCGGTTGAGATACCTTGGATGAATCGACGTTTAACAAAGGGGGCACAACACAACCGATTCTTCGCAGTCAAAGCTAGCGCCGGTTCGCAGTGGCAGCCGCGGCAGATCAGACCACTGCTGCAGGGGCAGACACACGCGGTTCAAAGCAGACTTGGTGGGATGGGAATTGTTGGGAGTGGTCCTCCTCCATATGTCCCATACATACCATATGCACATGCTTAATGGAAATCTGGATTTCCCCCCTTGGTTCGGCGTCAGGTCCGAGGCTCGTTGGAATTCACGGGAGCCCCGTTACGGGGTGCTCAGCTGGCACCAAGTGGTTGGAGAGAATGGGCACCGCTGGGCCGTCGGTCAAATTGTTGTGCCCGCGGCACGACGAAGAGTGCCTTGAAGGCCTAGCTAGGTACAAAGGTACAGCCGGACACAAGCCTGTCGACTGTGAGACGGACACTGGATGGAGACGGGAGCGGTGGGTTCGGTGGGATTGCTGTGACATGCGCCTGGGACGATATGCAAATCTTTGCTACGAGGGGCAACATTCCCACTGTTTAGAGACTCCCCTCCCCCCGTTCCAGTTTTTTCTTTTCGTTCTCTCTTTTTTGTCGTAAATCACTACGACCCTGAAGAATTTCGAGTCAATGTCGTTCTGAGTCGCAAGTTTGAGAACCGGAGGATCATTTGCAAAACACAAGTCAGAATGTCGCCAGCATCATCCATGCAGATGCACGGCAGTGTGTCGGTTGTCCGGCTGTGCCCAAGAACCCTTGATATCATTTCAGTGCATGCTCGTGTAGGTATGTTAAAAAAAAAAAGAGGCGCTCTGCCTCTGGCTTCCGGAAAGGCCAGCCCATGTCGATGCGCGCAGGCTGTCGACTCTGTATTCCCTCCGCGACGTCTCTTTTTGCGAGCTCTCCTTGGATACGGTTGCTTTATTTCTTGCCAGACTTCTTGATGCCCTGGGTGCCCGTGTTCAAAGGTCCCTTGCCGCCGGCCTTGGCGGCCAACTCCTTGCGAGCCTTCTCCTCTAAAGGGTCATTGGGTTAGTATCGGGGCGCAGGCCGGAGAGAAAGAAGAATGATCTGAGTAGTCAGTATGACCTACCGGCGCGCTTCTTCTCGAGGAAGGCGAGATCGTCCTCATCCAGCTCCTTCGTCTGCTTCTTCGCGGCCTTGAGAGGCTTGGCCTTGCCACCTGGAGAAAGAACCTGTCAGCAAAGCGCCGGGCGGCTGACGGCCACGGAAGAGCAGCAAACGTACCTTCACGAGATGCACCGCCCATTTTTGCTGAGTCTGTCGAGGGCTTTCTGGGACGTGGAAGTCAACTTTTGGGTGTGGGAGTGTTGAGGAAATAGCAAGGCTGGAGTCGCGGAGGTTGTCGAGTCGTGGAATCGGAGAGGAGAGGAGGAAGCAGGAAGCGCTGCGCAAAGGGACGGTCGGACGTGGGGTGAAAATCGCCCCTCGTGGAGAATCGGTCTGCGGAAATAAGAGAACCCCGCTTACATTGGTTACTTTATCTTGAAACGCATTAGAGCATACATTTAACGGCAATAGTCATCTATGCGGCTTACATGCATATAAAGAGAAGAGTGCCGTCAAGTGGGTCCGACGCAGCGGCGGAACAATCCAGCTGTGACAACTGACGTCGGCTCGGTTTCCTTGGCGCCTCGATTCCTCCGGTCGGGTGTCTGTCTTCTGTTACCAAAATTCGTTCGTCGCAATTCATCATCCCAGCCAGCAACACCAGTGCTTAAGGCCAGAAAACCGTTGAACCCTTGATCGCTGAAACACCACACACACACACACACACACTCTCTCTCTCTCTCTCTCACAGTTTCATACACACATCTCGTTGTCGGCAGATAACAGCATCCTTCCTTGACGTTGCATAGCCATCACCTCTTCTCGCCCCCCTCTTTGCAGTGCCCTTCTGGTTTTCTGGTGTCGCCTTGCTTTCCTCTTCCCCTATGAGCTGAGTCGACACAGTCATCTGGTTCGCAAACAATTCCTGCCGCGCATCAGTCTTTTGTTGATCTCTGCTGACACGTCGCTGCTGCTTTTCGCGAGCAAAAAGACCTCGGGGACTTCTCCCCTGGCGGATACTGCTGCAATCAGCACACAAGAGACACCGACGTTTGAGCAGGCTGTGGAACCACGCTTGCTGTCGCATCGCACCGATGGCGTCGAGTTCAGACGAAGGCGAGATCATGGAGAATGACGCCGTGGAATTGAAGGCATCTTCACTGCCGAAGAAGTTTGAAGGAAACGGTGTTGACCGTCAAGACAGAACCCGAAATAGATACTCGGCCTCCAAATCTCCCGAGCGCGACAATTCCGCCAGGCACTACAACCCTCCGAGACGGAGCCGCTCGCCCCCGCCACGCGGCTTTAAGCGCCCCCGCGACGAGCGCGATTACGTCGGCGGAGGACGACAGGACACGCGACGCTTCCGTGTGCACTACGAGGACGGCCCACGAGACGACTACCGCCGCTCCCGCGTTTCTTACGAAGACCTGGACCGCCCCTCCTCGCGTGGCTCGAACCACAGTTACGACGGCCGTGACAGGAACCGAAGCCGAGATAGAGATACATATCGCGAGAGAGACAGGGAGCGCGATCGCGATCGAGATCGTTACCCGGACAAAAGGCCGCGCAATCGCACCAGATCACCGTACCGTCCCCCACACCACGACCGAGGAGGCCGGGATGATCACTACGGCAGAGATGGCGGGCGCGATCGCCTTACCGACTCGTTCCGTGGCTTGAAGTACGACGACCACCGAGACCGAGACTCGCGGAATGGGAACACGCCATCGAACGGGGTCGCTGTAGGAAAGGATTTTCGCGCTGCCAGAGACGATGCTAAACCTGTGAAACACTCTGCAGACGACAAGAAATCTGCTGCGTCTCCTTCTCGAGACCGGACGTCCGTCTCTCCACACTCAAAGAGGACGCGGTTCCTGCTAACGCCGGAAGGCAGCGCGCCCCAGGTGGTTGAGCCTGAACATGACTATGACGAGCCTGAGGAGCCAATGGTCATTGACGAGGAGGCCGAGATTGAGCGTCGGCGCCGGCGCCGTGATGAGTTGCTTTCAAAGTCCAACTCAGCGACTCCGCTGCTTGTTCATGCGTTGCACGCGGCTGACAAGCCGGCTGTTGCCTCCCCCTCACGAGAAGTCACACCAGGCACACCGGGCATGGGCGAAGTAGGCACTCCAGGCACAGGTAAGAAACCCAGCTCCTTCTCCTCTCCCGGCTCCGCTAAGTCTTCAGATCTCGGATCACCCGCTCAAGAAGGGAGCTCACCTGGTGCTCTTGAGATCGTGAACGAGAACGACCTCATGAACATCCACGGAGGCGGAGAAGCCACTGAAGAAGACGGCCCCTCAGCAGCGGATTACGACCCCACCGTTGACATGAAGGAAGACGAGAGGCGCGACGAAATGAGACACGGTCATGTTGGCGTGCACGGCGAAGCTCTCGATGCGCAGACCGAGGCGCAGCCCCAAGAACAGCCCCAGGAAGCGCCATCGAAGAAGCCCACGGGTGACGATGACGACGACGATTTTGACATGTTTGCCGAAGACTTCGACGACGAGAAGTATGCTGCTCCCAATCCTGCCAAGGTGGCCGTCGTGGATGAGACCAAAGCTTCGCCCGCTCTCGCTCCGCCCAACGGCGCCATCCTCGAGGGCGACGACAAGGATGGCTACTACAAGATCCGCATCGGTGAGATCTTGAACGGCCGATACCAGGTCCAGTCCACCCTGGGTAAGGGCATGTTCTCTGGTGTCGCGCGGGCCGTCGATATTACGAACAAGAAGCTGGTCGCCATCAAAATCATGAGAAATAACGACGCCCTGAGGAAGGGTGGGTTCACCGAGATAGCCATTCTGCAGAAGCTCAACGACTCCGACCCGGAGTGCCGCAAGCACATTGTCAAGTTTGAGCGACACTTTGACCACAAGGGACATCTGTGTATGGCGTTTGAACACCTCAGCTTGAACCTGCGAGAAGTACTGAAGAAATTCGGGAATAACGTCGGCATCAACTTGGGTGCGACGAGGGCATATGCTCACCAAATTTTCATCGGCCTTGCTCACATGCGGAAATGCAGTATCATCCATGCCGATCTCAAACCCGACAACATTTTAGTGCGTATCCCTGCTGTAGAGAAATTTGAGAGGATTTTCACTAACCCGCACAAGGTCAATGAAAGCCGAACCGTACTCAAGATTTGCGATTTAGGCACCGGTATCGACAAGTCCGACGCTGCGACGGCACACAACGAGATCACCCCGTACCTCGTCAGTCGCTTTTACAGAGCACCCGAGGTTATTCTCGGAATGCCCTACGACTATGCCATCGATATGTGGTCCATCGGCTGCACGTTATATGAGCTGTATACGGGCAAGATCCTCTTCGCCGGCGACAGTAACAACCAGATGCTCAAGACCATCATGGAGATCCGCGGAAAGATCACGCCCAAGCTATACAAGAGAGGCCAACTGTCAGCGATGCACTTTGACGAGCTGGGCAACTTTGTCAGCATGGAGAGGGACAAGGCGCTTGGAAAGGTATGTAATTTGCTCGTGATGATGGTTCCCTACGTCTTGCTGCTTTTCTCTTCCCCGTACTTCCAACGCTTCTGCATTGGGCTTGTTTCATACCCCGAAGCCCATGCACCAATCAGTCCCTGGGGCGTTGTTTTTGACCGACGGTCCCGAGATGGTCTAGTTGAGGCGCAATGCGACTGTAAGCGCCGAGGCGCGGCTACACATACGTATGCATCCATCCTAGACATTCTGCGGGCCGTCATGTCTGAGCGGTGGACTCGGAGAGCTTGCATTGCGATGCCCTTCGGCCACCGGAATGGTCATCAACAACCGCCACAACCAACTTTGCAGTCTTTATTTTCGGATGGTTCGGACTCGCATGGCTTGCTGGGCCCCAGTCCTCCCCAATTTGGAAGGGCCGGCCGAGCAGAACAATCCCATCTGCGGAGGACGCAGACGCGGGTAGATGTCTCAGAGTCTATTACCACGGCCGACGCATCATCTCATCTTCGCCCCCTATGTATCCCCTGTTCTGCCCCCCAACTCTCTGCACGGAGGGTCCAGCGCGTTGGTCCTATTTGTCAAAGCTGTCAGATATGATGCCACGTTCGTGGGGACCCGCCGCACGCACGCTTTCTTTTGACCTATTTTCGACTTTCGATGCGTTTGAGGAATAGAAGCGAATTTGCCCGATGGGATTCCGTCCAGCCAGCTGACTCACATTTGCTTCATATAGACAACCGCCAGGGTCCTGCCCATGGTCAAACCGACGCGTGACCTGCGCACCCGCCTCTTCGCCGCATCGGCGGGAATGAACGACGCTGAGACCAGGGATCTCAACCATTTTGTCGACCTGCTCGAGCACTGCCTGACGCTCAACCCGGAAAAGAGAATCAAGCCTGCCGACGCGCTGAAGCATCCCTTCTTCACGTCGAGGGTTGCCCCGCCGAAGCGGTAGGGTGTTGGTCATGACCATGTCTAGGAAGACGCCCATCGGGGGTGGTCGTAGCATCCTTGGGGCGTTTGTTTTGTTGGACGTGACTGCTGGGATCATCTCGTACTCTCGCGATTGGTGCACACGACTGAGTCGAGGGCGTTTGGTGGCGCGGGTTGTACAACGAGACTGCAAGCTGCGTCCTTTACCGCGATGCGCTGGCGACAGAGTATACAGAAGATGCTTAAGGCAACTAGGAATTACAAAATATCCCACAATATACCATTCTACTTACATCAGCTTTCGCCCAGTCCATCATCATCTCTCTCTCTCTCTCTCTCATATTATGGGCCCTGCTCCTACCATCACGGAGTTTTGTTGTCTTGTGATTGATCCCGGAGCGATATCACCGAGCAAGCGGTAGAAGACGGTGACAAGAGACTTGGACCGAATGGGTCAGCTCACATCATGTATGTGCGACCGTTTGCGGGCCGGCATGAGGAGGTGATCTCGGAGGCAGTGCAGTAGCTTCTGTTCCCCGCGTTTCTTCTGTTTTGCCCCTCTCATCCTCATCCGTGTCCGACGATGTCCTTTCCCCCTCACCCTTGCCTCCCTGTACGCTTGTGTGACAAGTCAAGACATCTCTCGGTGTTTCCTTCCTAGACCAGTGGTGTATGTGTATGCGATGGTGTGTGTGCGCGCGTCATTGTCTTGGGACACGCTGAGCTGTCCGGCGTCCACAGGCACGGACGGGGCTGCAATCAGGACATGCATTTCTGGAAGATGACGACGGGACGGGACGGGATGAGGCGACATTTGGTGTTTGAAGTTGCCATGCTTGGAGCCTGAACCCTTCCGAGGAGAGACTGGGGATCATTACGTCAAGGGCGCGGCGCAAGGGTCCGAAGGAGGTCGTAAGGGGTCGACGGGACTCGGAGAGCATATGGGGTCGAAGGGCCCAAGAACACTGGACAAATAAGGAAAATCATGCCCCGCCCCCCCCAATCTTCTTTGGAATGAACCCTTCTGTGCGTGGAATCGGAGGCGGTCGAGCGTAGTCTGTGGTGCCTCCCCAACTCCTTGGATTTGTCACGTCGAAAGACGGCGGGCAGAAAGGGGGGTGTGTGTTTCTGGAGTTCTAGTTCGCGAGGTTCCAGGTCCCGGATACCTTGGCGATAGGACATCTCATCAAGCAAAGAAAACATACGCACGCCATACTTCTTCCTGGCGTCGTACGTCGTCGGGGCCACTCGCTCTGGCGAGCCAGCCCGGGTTCGGTCTCGGTCTGTGGTCGGCTCATTCCGCGGGCCCGAGACCTCGCGGGGGCGTTCCCTCATCTATGGGACGAGGTTCACGATGATCACCCTCCGCGTGACCAGTTTTTATGGTGCGGACAGAAAAAGAACAAACACGCAGCGCTTACAGCCTGGGTGACGAGCCTGCTGGGACGAGGACGGCCCCCGCTCCCCTCGTCGCATTCGTACGCATCAGCCTCCAAGACATGCAGGGCCACACAGTCGATCGCAAAAACCGGACGGCGCTGAGCTCTCGCTTTGATAGCACGATTACATTACGATACGTCCCGGTGTCGGGCGGTGTAATCTCTCTCGGTTCTTGAAGTAACGTGAGCTTCTGCGCGCATGTTGTTCCGCGGGAAAGGGGGGGTGGTTCGTACGCTCTCTGTTGCAGGATTGCGCGAACGTCGTTCTTGGACCAGACGACGCGGCTGCAAGCTTGCGAGGAAGTCCTGCTGCAAGCGTGGACGAAGGCAAGCCGGCACCGGAAGTTCGTGCCTCCCAACCAGCTTTGCAGAGTCTTTGATCCTTCGCCGTCGTTGGGAGTGCATGCCGCTCAGCACATACGTCTGGCTGGGTCATCAACGGGCATCTCGGGAGTATGGTGATGGGGGAGGGAGCGGAATAAAACGGCTCGACAGCAAGCTGAACGCATCGGGGTTTCGTGATGATCCTGAACCGTTTGAATTCTGTCTACAGAAGATCGTCTACAGGAAAGGCGCGTCCTCCGTCCCCCGAGTGAAGCGATATATCGACGTCGATCCTCCGCCTGGCTGTCCGGTGAAAATGGTTTATATCCCGAGCTCCAGACGAGCCGCGTAGGCTCACGCCGAACTATCAACGAGCTGACGCCAGAGGAACCAACCGGAGGCTTCATTTGCCCAGGCGTTAGTAGCCTTGACAGTTGGCAGCAGCTATGGCAGACCTCTCTGGTGCCAGACTCTTCAGACACGCTCCCCGAGCTCATATATCAAACCCATATTCAGCCACGCCCGCTCCCGAGTCCCAGGAGGGCGCAAGGCAGCAAACGATATGCAGCAGGCAACGTGCCATGCTCGTTCCTGCCTCTACTGCTTGGATATCTTCCACTAGGCATCTGTACGGATCAGGGAACTAGTCCAGTCTATCCCCATCAAGACATGTTTATCAGACAACTGTATACCAGGACAGAAGTTAAAGCATGAGCCAGGCAGCCGGTTGCCCTGTTTTCAGTCTGCCCCTGCAGAGCAATATATCCTTAGCCACGGTGGCGAAGAAGACAGCCGTAACCTAGACACGGCCGGAGCCGTATACGAACATTGGACGAGGCACAAGGCTGAGAAGGGACGATGGGCACAAACCAGGACCGGGGGGAAGAGGCGGTGTTGCCAGAACACGAACACGGGCACAAAAAGGCGACTGCGAACGCGAGGCACGCGCGCGCGAGAGAAAGAAGGGCGCAATCTTCGCCCGCTGGCGGTAGGGGGGGTCTCAGGTTGGCAGCCTTTTTGCCTTTTTTGTTTTTTTTCCACTTTGAGCATTGTTTGCTTGCCTCATCCCACGCACACACACACACACACACACTCTCTCTCTCTCTCTCTCTCTTATCCAGCCGGCCCATCCGGCCCATCCTGCTGACCGGGCGGCAACAAAAGGGGCAATACAGTCGTCGCCTATCACGAGGGGGTTGTCGGGCCCGACTCGGAGAAGGCCAGGTTGCATCACACAAAGAAAATGGCAGACGCTGTCCTCCCCTCCCATCCCCACGCATGCAGACACACCCCCTTTTGCTTCACGACGGATTGCGGGCGCGTACCACTCCAGATGGCGTTCAGGTCAGCCTCAGGTGGGAAACGGCAATGATCCCACGGCACGGGGGAGGCTGCGTGCTGGGCATTGCCGTCAGTCGTACAACCGCACAAAAAAGGAAACCGCGAAGTGCGTGTGAATGAAGGCACCTCTAGGGGGAGGGGGTGATAAGAAGGCCGGCTGCGATGCGCATGCAGCCAAGCTACGGCGATTGTGTTATAGACCATAGATAGAAACCCCCCAAAGGGGCCCGGCGGTTTGCCACCATGCTCGAGGGGTGGAGAGTAACACGAAAAACAACAACAACGAACAGTCGTGTTTGATCGTGTTCGACTAAGAAGAGGACGGAAGATAAGGGAGGGGGTAGGTAATGAGGGGAGCGGGGAGGAGCGGGAGGAGCGGGAGGACGAGGCAATCTAGATCGCACACGGCGGCGCCATGTCAACATGAGTCGCAGGTTCGAGTGCCGTATGCAAGCTGCCGGTCGATGGTCAGATTCTCCACGATGCGACAGAACGTACCACAGCTACTACTACTACTACTACTACTACTACTACTACTACTTGGCATCTCGCCTGCCTTGCGTGGGCGGTTGGACGAGAACGAATTGCATCGGGAAGCGCCAGGTGTCACGATGCCGTCGTTACACCGAACCTCCCCGGGGCAGTACCACGCTGGAAGTCACGATGCGGGCGGCCGAGATCTACACTATTGGCGGTTGTGCGCCGGCGTCGGCCGTGCCCGGTAGTGCCCGGTAGTGCCGAACGGAGACGGCGGGGGGGGGGGGGGGGGGGCTCGATCAACGAGGCGGGGGGTTAGGGCGGAGAGAGTGACAGAGAGTCAGGGAGAGCGAAAGAGAGACCGGGAACGGGGTCCTTGGAACGGACAGCGCTGTCGTCAACTTTGTAAGTGTATTCGTACCTAGATAGAGGAACCAGAGGGCGGCCGACGGACTCATCGTGCAAGGCTTGCGGGTTGTCGCCCGCTATCAAACCAAACAGGACTCAAGACCAAACAGCCAAGGAAGCTTCCAACGATGGTCGTCTTAGAGCGGCCGATTGAGGCGGGGGGAGAGAGGGAGAGAGAGTAGGGGAGACGGGCGCCGTACCCAGCAAGGCAAAGGGGCACGCCGCACGACGCATCGTATCTCTCCCCTTGAGGCTAGGCTTGGCTTGGCTTGGCTTGGTGTCGTCCAACGACGACGAATGACGACCAACGACGACTCGCAGAAGCGCTGGAATGTAGCCGGCAGGGCGCCAAGAGCCCGTTCGATGCGGCCCCGGAAGTCGAAGTAATGGATCGGCCCCAAAACTCTCGCCTTATCTCTCTCCCTCTCTCTCGCTCTCTTTGGGGGGGGGGGGCCCTAGCTTCGACGTCCACAGTCATGTTGCTTGTTTTCTAAGAAAAGACCGCGTGCAGATCGCCCATGTTTCCACCCGAGGCGTTGCATTCTCTTCTTCGCGTTGCATCGGGAGAGACTCGAGAGTACCATCCAGTCGATCACAGAGGACCACAAGTCCTCGAGGGTCTCTTACACTAGGTACTCCCCTCCCCCCTTTCCCACTTCGCACCCTTTGGGGTCGGCGCCGGCCCCTTGGAATGCTCGCTCGGGCTGGCGCTGGCTTCCTTGGCTTCCTTGGCTTCTTTGGACCCTGGAGCCATCAAAACCGTCCTGCGTTTCTGGTTTCTGGTGGCATCAATGCCCCCGCCGCCGGCCGCCCTCCCCCCCTTCCTCCCGCGTCTCAAGGGAGGGGGTTAGCGTTAAAGATCTGACAACGGGAGCACACGACGTGATGGGAAAAACCGCGCTTGACGCAAGAGGTGTGAGGCCATTATGGACAGGGAAAAAATAATAATGAAGGTCCAGGCGCACAAGCCGCCGCACGCATGTTTCTAGCCGCTCTCAGAGGGATTCCCTCAATGATTGGTGGTGGGTTTCCCGCCCTCCCCCTCCGGCCCAGCGGGGGGGGACCGCATGTCCCAATGGCAGTTTGAGGTTCGTTGAATCACCCCACGATTGTTCGATACTGAGCGGGAGGAGGAGGCAAAAGCGCGCGCATGCGCACGTTGAGATGGGGGTAAAGGAGGCATGACGGGATTCAGTGATGTGCAGGACGGGGTCCAATGATGAATATGCCCGTCATCTGAAGGCTTTTGACCAACGAGACGTCGGCTCTTGACTAAAGTAGGTACTGCGTAGTGCTAGCCCATCTATCTCGAGGGCGCAGGTTTAAGAAAAAAAAATCAAAAAAAAAAAATCGCGGAAGCTAGCAACCGTCTCGATTCTCTCCCACCCCTAACCTCCTTTTTCTTGATACATGGTATAGAGCATGATATCACGAATTCGTCAAACCGGGAAGGGATCTCCACCATCGAGATGTCTCACACTTTGCGCCATCCCTCTCTGCCATGGCGGCGGTCAGTTCGCAACCCACTAACGGCGGGAACCGTCGGGAGGAGGGGTGGGAAGTGTGGTCCTCACGAACCACCGTCGACGGTCTCTTTCGTCTTCCAGACTAGAACGTGACACAAACAAACAAACAGAGAGAGAGGATCGAGGATATCGAAGATCAAATCCCACACACCCCCCGGCGGGACACCACACAAGATAACGCCGCCGGTGCGGCCAGCATTCGATTCGATTCGAATCGAATCGTCAAACGGATCTGCGAAACTCACTAACGAATACATTGACTCCATGTTGATTGACAATGGCTGAGTTTCTGACAGTGGCCGAATCGTAGTGGATCGTGTCCGCCGCCGCCGACGTCGTGATCGTCATCGGCGATTCTCTCTCACGTCCCCCTTCGCGCTCAACGCATCTCAAACCAAGCCCCGAAAGGGTAGCATTCCATTCTGGAAGGGCCGGCCGCCTTAGCGCGGCAATGCCTTACGTGTGCGAGGGGGGCGGTGTGTGGAGTTGATGAGTGAGGCCATGTTCACCGTCGCGCAGTGAGTGCTCGCTCGTTCGAATCGTGAACCGGTCCCATTGTCCGCCCTGAGGCCTCTTCTGGTTGTGGGTGGAGGCTCAGGAACCTGCCAACCCCCGGCCGCCAATGATTCTTTTTGGGTTTGCGATTGACAAGTGTTTCGTTTGGACACCTCCGGTTTGCCGCTGCCTGGCACTGCGTTCGCCCAATGACGAAGCTTCTTGGTGATGGGATATCCCGGCCAGCGCCTCTCGCCTCTCATCTGCCATCAATTGTGCGAACCGCCCGGGCCGTCTGCCCATGCAACAACCAGCGTATAGCCTACAGCCTAAAATGGACTGAATGATCGCGATCCGCCAGGTGCAAGTTGCAATTTGATTGCTGGCTTGCATCCATCCCTGATCCAGTCTTTTGGTGTCCGAGTTAACCGGGGTTGTGTGCGTGTGTGCGAATGTCGGCTTGTCAGGAAAATCCCCGCGGTGTAGCATGTTGTTTTCAGTAGAGTGTGTAGCCTGCGTTTAACCCACTCGCGCTATATCAAATCCGTGCATAACTTTGGCACATCGCGATGAACGTCATCCGTCAAACGATTCGCTGATGGTCAGAGTGTGCCCGGAGCCGCACGTCATTGATGGGCTCGCTCGACGGGCTCGAGGTCCGTGATGAAGGGAGTTGAGTCATATTCCTGACTAGGCTCTAGGTGCCGGACAGCAGCGGCGGACTTGCAAATGAAAATCCCGACTGGCTTTGGTCTGGGGCCCCGTTTGTTCAATGTGACGATTGTGATTCGGGTGTCGTCCCGAGACAAACACAAACACAAACACAAACACACACACACACACATACACATACACACACATACACGCACGTCTCTGATCCATTTGTCAGTCGCAACAGCCTCAGTTCTGAGAGTTCTAGACCGTCGCGGCGCTCGGTCCCTGCACTGCACTTTCGTGGCAGCGCCTCGTCGTCACGGGGTCTCAACTTGGACCCTCGAGAGACCCCTATATGCTCGAATACCGCTTTAGCAAGGCAGCTTTGGGTACGCGAACGAACGGCGCGGCCTTCGCACCTGGCCTTGGAGGCCCGACGAGCACGGGTCGACCATGAGATGGGCCCGCAGGGATGGGTACATCACTCTGTTTTGTTGTGAGGACCGCTGTCTTGGACAACCTATCAAGCCCGTGAACTCTGGTCCGGCGTTTGTGCCGAGCAGCAAAATGACTTTTGGCCCGTTCGCTATCCCAGGGGGGGCAGGATGAGACACTGTTGGCAGAGCCAGCCGCAACTCACCTGGCCTGCACTTTGACGTTCAGAGAGAGGGGCTTACTGATCGAGAGGGTTTGAGACGACGCGAAATGGACGAGACCTCCGGCCCACCGAGCCTTTTTTTTTCCAAGTTTAAGCTGTCGGCCATGCTTCGGCGTGTGAACGAACGGATGGCTGAGTGCATTTCGGTCATCCCCAAGACGTGGGCACGTCTGTTTGCTTCTTCCCGTCAGCTGGCAGGTGGCCATTGATGAGCGAGACGCACCAGGCCGACCACAAATTGCGATCTTCCCGGCACTGCGAAAGTATCGTGAGCATCCCGAGTCCCGCAGGCGCTGAATCGCCCAAAGACTTTATTCAAGGGAGACCGAGCCGAGGCTTGCAGACGGAGGCGACTCGCTGGCCCGCTTGTTGGCGAACCGAGAAGGTAGGGAGGGAGGAAACGAATGGTTGTCTTGTTACACAGCAAGCAATAGTCTGCCTTTGCCTCGTGTTTCCTCGTGACTCTCAGTGAATGAGTCTTGGATGATATGCAAGATTGCCATGTGGTCCAGGACGGGGTAAGCAAGCGGGCGTTGTTCAAGGTCGTAATATTGGTTCCAAGAAGGTTCCATCCCACCCGCGCCTGGCCATTGATTTCGACTTGTCTGGCCCCCTGTCATGTCGACGGAAGGGGGGACCGTTCGAGTCTATCGTGCAACGGCCGTCATCGATGTGCCGCTCGCTGGCTGGCTTGCATTTGCGCATCTGTCCTGGGAAGAGACTCATTACGAATGACGCACAACGAGGGTTATGTGTTGCGGGCTGGCCGGGGTAGACGGTTCGGTTCGGTTCGATCAACTCTCGTCTGTAACCACGTCCGAGTCGCAGGATGATTTGATGAGCGCTAGGTCCTTTGCCTGGCCAGTGTTGCCTAGCCGAAGGAGTGTCCAGGAAGAATGCAATATGATCGGCTCATTTGGTAGGGTTGCACTGTGAGTCGCATCTATAGCAGGAAAAAAGGCCGACCAATATTGATCAACCGCTTTCCGGGGTCTCGTCAAGGGCATCAACGTGCCCGGGATGCCAATACACGGCAAGGGCATCATCAAACAAGAAATGGGGGGGAAACGGGCGCGCTGATTGGAACCCACTCCGACGGGTTTCCTTTCCAGTTGGAGGCAACTCTGGTCATGGCATGAATAGATCGGCTCCCCGAGTGACGGACAGGTGGGCCAAGTATGGCATGTTTGAGGTGCGTTGCGAGCAACATCGGATCACCTCGGAGTCCAAGCTCAAGTTGGCAGGAAGAAGGCTGGATGGGTTTGGCTCGGACTCTTAATGTGACCCGTTTAACTGTCGATCCCCCCCTGCCTTGACGAAGCGCGCCGCCGCGCAAGTGAGCGTTGGTGATGGAATTTGTTATTGACTTGCTTTACTATGTATGTGACAGCTTGGAGCCTTGTGTAGCAGGAATGCTGGCCCGTCTCGGAGCAAAAGCATGGGGGGCAACCCCATAAGCTTTGATAACGGAGCGGCAAGGGAAATGATACTTGACAGGCAGCACGTCTGTGATGCACTGAGCCAGAGGTCTACGAGCCATGCCGGTATCTCCAAGTCAGTGGAGCGAGTAAGACCACGATGAATGATGGGCTGTCATGGTCTCGCCTGCTGTTTGACGACAGACGGTGCTCCCCTCCAGGACGAGCATGTCGCCATTTGCCTGAATAATGTATCCATGGAATGCTGGCTCGATTGTGCCTAGCCTGGCTGCCAGCCGCGCGATGGAGGAGCATTCCACTATCAACTGGAATGCGCAGCGTGTATAACTTGCCCATGTATATGGACGGACCATGTTTCCGAGACTCGGGTATCTCACATTCGTTGTCGCCTGGCTAGTTAATGTATCTTGGTGACTTCAGTCCAGCAATGGTGATTTGACGTGAACCCCTACACCAACAGCCGGCTGCCCTGGCCCAAACGCCTCGACTTGATTCTCACCCTAGGCACATTCCCCGAAAGCATCACCGCAATGTGTCGTATCACTCCGAAGGAACATGCCCGGGCAGGATGATATGCCCGTGATGTTTCGCGGCTGGACGCTATTCCCGACAAGGCAGCACGAGAATGATAGTCTGCGTCTCCTGTGCAGTTGCCATGGCATACGATCTATCTTGTTGCCAAACAGCAAGATGGCAGCCCTGCACTGAGCCAATCGGCAACGGTTGCGGACGTTGGAGTCTCTAAGCAGCGCGTAAGCAATGTATAGGTAGTGTACGGAGTACATGCACGAATACAGGAGGCACCTCCTCCACTGCGATGCTCCAACGAATCAGGCATAGACGGGCGCAACACATCCAAGCTGGTAGGTCTCAGAGCACGGACGGCAGCGTGGCTTCAGCGAAAAGTCTAAACCCCAAGCAACGGTGGGACGAGGCCGCTACCTAATCTATGGGAAATCGAGGGCATGCCGAGATTAATATCAGCGTGGCATCGTATTGGTCGGTGTAGCGGTTCGAGGGCTGATGGGCTTGTCGATTGCCCATGTTCTGGCAGCGTGGGTTTCAGTCCTTATCCATTTTCGGTTGACTTCAGCAAGTCATCCCAGGACGACACAGTCATGGCCCGATATGAGGCCATAAACCTGATAACCCTCCGATGCGGGGGACGCAGGGAGGCTTTCTCGACGGGCGTTTGCAGTGCGTGCGAGCCAAGGCCCGAGAAACAGAGGAATAAGAAAGGTGAGCAACAACAATGGCAAATGAAGGCAGTACGGAGTAGTATCCGTAGAATGCGGTTGATCATAACTCACGATCCCTCACCACTCAATTCTTTTCCGTTCCCGGGCTTGGACAAGACGGATGGATAGATGCACCGGGTCAGTTTCTCTGGCCGGTCCAAGATGCTCTGCCGGCTCCACGTCCGAGCAAAGCAGCGGCAGGTACCGGTAATGGGGAGGACGGATGTTTGGTGCAGCCTTGACATTGAAGACGGGGCGGCATCGTGCTCCATCTAGATTGAGCGATCAGCATAGCGTGAGAGCAGCGCTGGGTACCTGGTAAATGACGTTTCACAATCGAGCCTCGCTTGAGGGTTACTTGTGGGTTGAAGTGTTTGGGTGCTTTGTCCGCCACGGAGTCGCAGACAGACGGAGAGCTGAGGGTGGTGTCGTCAATCTGCCGAGTTCCACGGCCACTCCCTGGGCTTTGTGAGGCTGGGGCCGGTCTCGAGCGGCTGGAACATGTCTTTTTGGGGTGGGCCAATTCGGAATTCAGATGGTTGGGCCCGATCGGCAACGGGCGGGTGATGATGGAATGCGCTGGTGACGCATCCGGACCCGTACGCGTACCTATGCGTACCGGCACGGCAGTCAATCATCTGCCGGCTGCGAAGCCGGTGTGGTGGCAGCATCAGCCTTTAGGGCCTGGACATCGCCAACGCTTGGTTGGTTGTGCTTGTCTCTGCGTCAGCCACTCCCCCATCCTCGTTCGTTGCTCTGGATTTCGGCATTGAGGTTCTTGACGGTTATTGGCCTCCTTGTCTGCATCGTTTCTCACGCAGCGGTGGCGGTAGACGCCTGAGACGGAGCTGGAGGCTAACAAGGATCAGTGGGTCTGCAGGAGGGAACGCTGTCATTAGCACGGCGTGATATCACTCGGGTGCCCAAGCCCATCATGTCATACGTGTACCGGTAATCCATAGGATGAAGTGCATGGGGTACCCGGAGCCAGCGTCGCAGATTTCGGGACGAATCCAGGGTGAGATTCATCACAAGAAGTCGGATCCAATATCGACAGGGTCCCAGAGCATGATCGGGGCGGTCGGTCGAGACTCGGGAGAGCGAGACTGTGGACCGCCAAAAGGCGGCGTTGGAAGCGCGTGAACATTTCGAGATTTGCAGGGACGGCATGGACGGCATGGACGGAAGAGTTGGACGATGAGATCTGGCAGATACGCTAGGCCGAACAAGGCAAGTGTGGCCCGTACGGTACTACAGTACGTCGATGCAGTTCCATGCGCAGACCGCTTGTTTCTTTTCCTGGGGTGTGAGGAGCGGCATCGTATTGTAGCCTGAGGCTAAAGAGCAGAAGAGGAGAGTTGAGACCTCAGGCAGCCACATGGAATGGAATGGAACAGCAGGAGTAGGAGAGGAAGGAACTGTAAACTGGACTGGCAGGTGGTAGGTAGACCGGCGGATGGGAAAGGAAGGCGGGCAGGTGGCAGGTGGCAGGCTGGCAGGTGCAGCCGCTTCCACCTCGTCCCGCGATTGGCTCCAGAAGGAGACGGCGGAAACGGGGAACGAAGGAAGGAAGGAAGGAAGGAAGGAAGAAAAAGGAAGGAATAAAGGAAGGAAAGAAGCTAGGCGGGCGCAGCACGGACTCTACCTGCCAACCAACCTTCTCTCCCGTCCTCTCATTCCCTTCCCATCATCCTTCGTCGTTGCATCCTTTGCAGAGATAGACACCGCTGGTTGTGTCTCGCCATTCGACACCCCAAGCCAAGCGCCAACCTCACTCGATTGTAGTGAGGTGCCCTGCTACATTCCCACTCTCTGCTCTGCTCTGCTCTGGTCGAAATCCGGCGCACCCAACCCGGCTTTGCTTCAACGCATTGCTGCGGCACAGACCAACTCCTGACACCAGATGCATCACAGCGCCTAGCACCAACACCAGCGGCAGCAGCGACAGCAGCGACAGCAGCAGCAGCAGCAGCAGCAGCAGCAGGCGGAACGCCATGGACCATGGACTTGGGCCTAGACTGGATGTCATGGCACACATCCTCCACATGCAACCGCGTGCCGAAGAACACATTGGAAATGCCTCCCTCCCCATGTAGCGGAGCCGAGACTATTGCTTCCACTGACCCACCCATCAACTCATCTATGATCTGACCAGCCAAGTGCCAGCATCAGGGCGCTCTACGAATACACTACTACCGTACTCCGTACTCTTTCGGACCCAAGGCAGCATCTGCCAATCTGCTGGGCGACGGGTCCGCCACGGCCACCAACGCCATAACGAGGACCGCCGAGACGCAGGAGATGATGAGAACCGGGGCGAAGGGGCGGTATGGTGTCTCTCCATGCCCTCCTTCTACTTCATACCCGATGAATATTCTCAATCCCTCACTACAAATAGGTCGGTGCTTCCTGACGAGTGGCCACCGGCGGTATGTCAAGAACATGCAACTGGATGCTACACTGCATCGTGAACCGTGGGCTCCTTGCTTCAATAGGACGCTCAAATTTGCTTGTTGAGTCGGTGGGATCAGCGTTTACAGACCATTATATGGGCCTTCCACATCATAATCCATCATAGCCCCGTCGTCGACAGCCTCACTCCTCGGGAATTTGTGCCCGGGGACCCCTGTCCCCATGCCCCGTTGGCCGTTACGATGTACGGGGCGGCGGCTTCTCTCAGTCGCCTGCAGCCCAGCATCTCACGTCTTTGGCTGGCCCGTCGCAACACGCAATACAGTGCAGTGCAGTGCAGTCAGTCTGGCACATTTTTTTTTTTTTTTTTTTTTTTGGCTCACCAGACGCCGAACACGACACCATCTTCTCCTCTCGTCCAGTTGGACCGCTCCCTCATCATCGACCTGATCACTGCACCGCAACGACACACAGCCGTGGCCTCAGGCAACCCTGCGTTGACATGCGTCGCCCCGATGGCGAACCAGACCTCGAACAGACCCTCCCCGTTCCGCCCGTTTACCGCTCCGAGCCACACAGACGTGCAGCCTTTCTGCAGGACGCATGCGCCAACGACGCACATCCAACGCAGCGTTGCGGCGGACCTCCTCCCCCCCCATCAAGCCGCCTGGAGCTTCTTGCACAAAGAAGAGACATGCTCTTCACGACACTGGCCCGCTTTCTTTTTTCTGATCATGGAACACAATCCTGGTCCGTCCATTCAAACGGTCGTTCCTAATCTCAGGCCCATGTGCGACCCATAACCACGTTGGCCGCCGTCACTGGAGATGGAAGAGAATGCCCCCTTCTAAAGGCAATCCGCATCTTGTTCCTTCGCCCGCCCCTGCGACTCCACAACCACCGAATCCAGGCCTGTTCCTCCGCTTGCTGCTGGAGCTGCCGCTGCCTCGTCTCCGGCCCAGCTGGTTTACCCGAGTGCAAAACTCGAGCCGTCTCCGCCGCCGTTTACCCCCCCTGTACCGCTGCAAGAGGCTACGGTATCCTTTAGACAACCCCCGCTTGCGGCCGTCAGAGCTGTTCATCATTTGCCGCGCTCCTACTGAAGTTTTTGATGAGACAGGTCCAGTTGGACTGGCCACATTTCCATCATGTCTTGGACTGTCTTTTGCCGGATCCTTTACCCGTCGGTGGAGCTGCCGTCAGCAAACACTGCGCATACTATTATGTGTCCTCAACACGGTCTAGGCGTAGACGGGCTTGTTGACTGGCTTTGCGGAACCTGCACCATATGGATAGGATACACTTACACACAACCAAGGGTCATCAAGTGCTAGCGCAACCGGGAATGTGGTATCAATGTGAAAAACATTTCACCACCATTATCAACTAGACAATCGTGCACCTTCCTAGCCATTCACATCGACGTGACCTTTTGGGAATACTCTACACGGCACCAACTAGCAGTATTGCATCAGCTTGGGAGTAACATTCATTGGTCCGTGGACGCCGCCAGCCAGCCATCACCACGTTCTCTAGCCACTCGACGCAACCATGCACCCGAGCCAGATACGGCACGAGCTAGTTGATTGTAGGCAGCCGTGTCAGCCAATCATTGTGGATAGGTCAATGACTGGTGCACACTGCAGATGAGAGGAGGAGCGGTGCAGCCACAAGGGCTGCTGCGCCTGCGACCAGCAGCCCAAGAGCTTGTTCGCTTGGCAGCCTCAGTGCCAATCAGCGGCGCCCTGAGGCCCGAACGGGAAGCGATGGGCAGCAAGTGAGCCATGCAAAACTCGCGTAGCATTGATCCGTCACCAGCCTGCGAGGCAGCTTCTGCAACAGAAAGGCAAGCCGGCCACCGAAGCCCACACTCGTTTACTCCCGGACTTTATGCAAACGGCTTGCCAAGCGCCACACAGGCGTCTGCTCCTGCTACGAGACCATGGCAGTGACCCTACCGACCCTTGTTGCGTCTAAGCATCCGAAGTCGTTCGCTCACAGCACTGTTTGGCGGTGGTCGCAGAGTTCTGCTACCGACCATCAGCAACAGGGCTGGCAACAAGCCATAGCACGCATCACATCGCCCGGTAGGATCCTGGGTTGCGGTGAAGGATAGTGTGTCTCATTCCATCATATTTGGACTGCACTTCCATGCCTGGTTCAAACATTCTCTAGGTTGTTTTGGTCAGCATCAAGCCATTTCGCCCGGGCAACCTGACCAACATGAATAAAGAAAAAAGAAAGAGAAAAAAAAAAAAAAAAACCTCCCGGGCACACTCGCCCTGCGGTGAACCAAAGCCAAGGCGAGTTGAAGAAAGAAGGAAAACTGCACATCTCAAGTCGCAAGGTGCTGTGTGTCGTGTCGTGTCGCCTCGCCGTACGATGATGGATGCTTACTCAAATGGACGTACCACGGAAGGGCGAGCAGTCAGTTCCACTTGGTCGAGAGAGACCGGCATGAGCACAGGGCCCTACACTAACCCACAGCGAGAAGTGATGTGAAAGGGCGAAGAGGAGCAGGAGACAGACTGTGTCCCCTCCGTCAGGGTCGTCCCATGCGTGGGCGAGGTTGGAGGCGTCGACTCACGCACGCCCCGTTTCTTCGACACCCATCGGCCATCCGTTTCGTCTGACGCACCAAGCAAATAGCCGTGACAGGGGTCGATGGAGCACGGCTGGGGGTGATGGATCAGAGTCATCACAACAGACCGCGCACACACACACACACACACACACACACACACACACACACACACACACAAACATACACGCCCACCTGTAGAACACCCCCCCTCCCCTCCCCACCCACCCCTGGGACGAGGCCACTTTACCTGGTGCGTCAGACAATACCTGCTCGTATATTGCCCAGAGCCGCCAATCAGCGGTACTAGTGTCGTCCTAATGGCCGCTCTGGGGAGGGGGGTGGTGGGCTCCAACAGAGAAACTCTGCTGGTCACTCGTCCACCCCTAGGCTGCTTACACCCCTCCCTCCTCACACGCCCTCTCACTCCATCTCAGCATGGCGCCGACTCTCAGGCCTCAGGCCACTCAACTCTAACCCACTGGCCCGCCGCTCACGTCGAACTCAAGAATAGATGGTGCATTAGTGGGCTCATGGCTAAGACCTGGCAAGCTGCCCATCCCTGTACTGGTAATGTCGAAGACGACTGGGGGTCCCAGAAGCCACCGTCCATGGTGGATGCTCCACGCAACGCACCTCGACCAGGGTACGTAGACGTAGCGCTAACATCATTTCGCCTCGTTCCTCATCGGGGTGGTGGCAGCCATTATCAACCACCCATATCCCACGTCGTGCAGTTGGCAGAACTCACTTTGAGATTCAATCACCAACTCTTCCAACTACCTTCCTTCCCCGTCGACCTCTTTACAACTCCTCACGATCCTCGGAGAACTGGATTCCTCAGTCGCCCTTCAGCCTCCGACCCAAACGAACAACCTTGACCGACCTCTACGCCCTTCCTCATCCCCAGGCGACCAACCAGTACGTGTTTGACTCGTTGACTCGACGTCTTGCGCACCTCAACTTCTCCTACTCGACCCAAAGGACTCGACCCATTAGGCCACAGGAAATTGCCCAAGGATTTACTTTTTGGATTCCCAGGACTTACCAATCCAAAGGATAAGGCCGTTTCTCCTTTTCTCTCTATCTCTCTCTCTCTCTCTTTCCTATTATCTTCTCTCCAGTTTGGATCTCGCCTTCGAGACCCAACTAAGACCGCCAGAGAACGTAATCCCATTTGGACCCGCAAAAAAATGCAGCATGTATCAGGATTTGGCTATCCCACTCCTCCCGCGTCGCCGGTGTACGACAACACCAAGTGTTCCATCCAGCAGCCCATCACAACAGCGCCCCACTGCCAGGCTCGATATGTCCCGTTAACGCCCGAGGCGAGACTGGGAAGGTTCCTCGAGGGCAAGTTGCAGTTGACGACCATCCTGGGGACTGGCGCATATGGTGTCGTGTATTCCGCCGTGGATGTCAAGACCGGAGTCCGTTATGCCGTCAAGTGCCTCAGCAAGTTCAACCCAGATGGAACCCCATTGGATCGCCGACAAGTTGCTTTCCAGAACCGGGAGATCCGTCTGCACTATCTGGCCTCGGCCCACCCCAACGTGGTCTCGATGCTCAAGATTGTTGACGACCCGGACTGCATCTATGTCATTTTGGAATATTGCCCGGAGGGTGACTTGTTTTTCAACATCACCGAATGTGGTCAGTATGTCGGGAACGACGATCTTGCCAAGAGAGTCTTCCTGCAGATATTGGATGCCGTTGAACACTGCCACTCTCTCGGAATCTACCACCGGGACTTGAAGCCGGAGAACATCCTTGTTTCGGACCACGGAGAGACCGTCAAGCTTGCCGACTTTGGCCTCGCCACATCGTCCGACCGGTCTGAGGACTACGGATGCGGCTCCACATTCTACATGAGTCCAGGTAGGCACACCATTCCCAGGAACTTTCCTACTCCTTCAAGCCTCTCCCCCTCGAACACGACTGACATTTTTTCTTTTCCTCTCTTTCTAGAATGCCTGGACCACTATGCCAGGAGACCTTTTTACTTCTGCGCCCCCAATGATGTCTGGAGCCTCGGAGTGATCCTGGTCAACCTGACCTGTGGACGCAACCCATGGAAGCAAGCCTCGTTCGAGGACTCCACCTACCGGGCCTATACCCGTTGCCCAGATACCCTCAAGAGCATCCTCCCAGTGTCGGATGAACTGAACGACATCTTGGGAAGGATTTTCACCCGGAACCCGGACCAGAGGATTACTTTGCCCGAGCTGAAGGCCAGGATCCAGGCATGCAGGAGGTTTACCATCCCAGCGATGCCTGCTGCTGTGCTCCCAACACCCCCAGCTTCGCCCGAACACATGACCGAATACGTTACGTGCGAGGACACGATTGTCGACGACTACGACAACGCCCTTTCACCTGCGTCGTCTTCTTCCGACGACGGCTCGCTCACCTCGAGTGGCTCGACCATTGAAGACCTTGATGAGGAGTTCCTACAGGAACAACAGGATGCCATGGTATGCCACGCCCAAGCGTTCGAACCGGAAGATCCGAGGACGGCATCATTTTCCACACAGGATTATGTTCCTCAACAATACACAGGACCCGTGCCGTCGCCGGCGGTTGGACAAGAGCACCTTCACGCACAGATGCCTTTACCTGGGCACATGCCGGCTCAGGTTCAAATGCAGGCACCCAGCTGCCCGTCAAAATCATTTGTCCAGTTCTGGTGGGGAGACGTGTTGAAGTATGCCCAGCACGCACCTTCAATTCATCCCCATGTTCCCTTCCACCACCAGGTCCCACTCTTTTCTCACCCTCAAGGCTGCTACTAAGCTGCCACATATCCGTTACGCCACAGCCTTTCCCAGGATAACCATCAACACATGGCTCATTTGGACTGCTTCGGCGAATCAAATCACGACACAACACAATCGTATCAACGTTTAACCCATGGACGAGAGGACCCATGAGGACATTTAATTCCGTTATGAGACATGTGGACCAGATTTTTGCCCTTGGACTCCCATACCGGAAAGGATCTACCAAGAAGCTCAGCGAAAAACAAAAAAGGGCCGGATTTTCTTTTCACTTTCTGTAGATCTGCACCCTCACAAGAGGGTGTCGTTTTTTTTTTCTCTCTCATGTTTTATTACCATTTCTTTGTTTTTACAGCGTGGAGTTGGGTTTGGGAAGACGACGGGGAAACTATCTCTGTACTAGGGGATGCCAAGCGATGCATACAAGGCGCAACAGGATACAGAGATAGGGGGTTGGCTGGAGTTTCTTTATTTTCAGGGATATCGTGGCATCCGATTCTACAACGCTTGCTCCCTGTGCGCAAGCATGCAGGAAATGCTACTTGGCAGCTTTTCTGTCCATTGTTGGACGGTACCACGGTTAACTTTGGATTGCATTCGAGACGTGAATGCTCTCGAAGTGGTTGAGCAATAGTAGGAACAAGGGATTTGGTTTTTCATCGACAACGAAAGAGGGAGAAGATGTTTAGACAATACCTGGGCCAAGAACCCGACGTTTCGCGACGAGATTATTCGCGCAAGGAAGACTCTTGGGGAAGTGGAAAGTTCAACTCGAGTCTGGCAGGAAATAGCTGAAGAACAAAGCTATCCTTCCACTTTTTTTTTTTTTTTTTTTTTTGAATAATACAAAACATTCAAAGAAAAACAAACACAAATTTCAAACGTGCCCTGTGATTTCCCAATAACCGCGATCCAATGTGACGTCTCAACATGTACGGCGATTAAATCTTCTTGGCAGTCATGGCCAGACACGAAAGGGCCGTAATACCTGCCAAGGTAAGGCGTCCTTCCGAAAGGTTGGCTCGCATCTGACCGACCCTTTCTGTCCTTTTTGTCTTAGCTCGATAATCCCGGCCCCTCCCATCCCTTCGATGCTACGTTGGGCCGTCTTCCAGAACGTCTCAAGATTTCCCATCCAAGTATGAGAGGAAAACCCTCTTGACAATCCCGTAGGGGAGGGAGAGAGACGGGTTGTTCCCTACACCGGCTTCCCAGGGGAAAGCCTGTAGCTGTCACGAGGGTTTACTTCTACTTTCTTCTTCTCCTTCTTCTCCCCCTTTCCTTCCATCTCCTTTCCCTCCCCGTCTTCTTCTTTGCTCTTCAGAAAGAACGCCCGCTTTGCTGGGCTGCGTGCGCATTGTGGCCATAGCTCTCTCCTCTGCTGGAATGACGGAGGACGGAGGCGGACAGACGGACAAGCGGCTACGAGTAAGAAGGGGAGGGGAGTTAGACGATCTTCACGACACAAGTGGTTATTACGACAGTCTCACTCTCTCTCCTGATCACGGATCTGTTATGGACGGTCTACTGTCCCAAACCTGAGGTAGTAGCTACTTTGCAGGAAGGTAGGGGAGGGGGGGGCACGGGAAGTACAAGAGTGCGAAAGAGATGGGTTGGTGCCATGGCTAGCTGGCTGGCTTGCCAACAAGAACCTGACTGAGACGGAAGCCGGGGAACCCGCCCCGGCTCGACTCGACTCTCGACTTGTCTGGCTCGCCCTTGCGCCGCTCTGGAGAGAGAGCAGCGAGCAAGTTTTCTTGGTGCGGGTTGCCGGGTAATGGTGGTGGATGAGTGAGCCGCAACTGGCTCAGAGTGCAGGATACGTGCCAACTGCAACGGGAGCGGGGCATGTCACGGCACGGGACAAAACGGCACAGCGCTACGAGTTATTGATCGAGAAGAGCACACGCGCGCACGTCCCAGCAAGATCAGACATTTGACGTGGTGCTAGCTTGACTAGGGAGGGGCATCTAAGAAAAGGCAGGGCTGTCAGGTCGGCTCTTGCTGGAGAGCTCCCCCCCCCCCCAACCTCCAAAGGGAGGGGCTGTTGATTGGGCCGTGGCGGATGTGGGAAACGGTCATCGTTCGCCCCGTTTTCTTTAGGGGGGGGTTACTTCGGTTTCTTTGGATGGGTGGTGGTGGCTGTGGTTCGGGACCATCCTACCATCCGCCCTCCCTCCTCCTCCTCCTCGCCCCCCCCCCCCCCCCCCATACGTAGTATGCTGCTCTTCCCGGGCCTCCAGTCGGTCCTACCGCGACGTGGTACGTAGTACGTAAACGAAAGAAGAAGACGGAGAAAGACAATGGCGATCCCTCTTTTTGGGTTCTGGAGTGGAGAAATCGACATATTGTTGGGTCGGGCTTATCTTATTTGCCTTGGCGAAAAGAGCATTTCAAGGATGAGACCGAAAAACACTGGCGGTCCCCCCCCCGGTCCACGTTACTATCCGGCACTCACTACGAGGCTGTGCGTGTCGTACTATGTATAATACCGCGTGGGGTTATATTTTCCGGTCTCCGTATTGTCTTCTGGAGTCTTTGGTCCTTCTTTTCTTTTTCTTCTTTTCTTTTCCCGTTGTAAACTTATTTGGGTTCAGTGGGAACTGATACCAAGTTGAGCTTGAGCTCGTCCCCCCCTTCCATCTCCTCTATCATCTGTACCATTCATTGGTGGGCGCACCCAGGAGAAGGAAGGTTGAGCCTTGGTCGAATTCGGGCCTGTGCCCAGTTCCGTTTTCTTGGATGCAGGCGAGGTGTCATGTTGCACTTGACTAGGGGAAAACCAGGAAGTGGTGTGCTGTGTAAGGAAGCAAATCAAGAAAGGCACAGGAAGAAGGTTTGGATCCAACTGGGTAGCGTGACAGCCAGAGAGAGAGAGGGAGGGAGGGACGCAAAGAGCGTGCTGCACTCCTTGCACCGTTGTCACCTTGTTACGCATGCATCACGGCGGCCAAAAGGCAGAAGAAGGGGGGTCTCCTCGGGCGTTGAGTGGTTTTGGGCATGGAAGCATGTGTGTGGGGATGGGTTTGGTAGGCTTGGGGCTTGGGGGGGAGGACATCCAGATACCCTATGTAGGTTGTGTGGAGCATGAGAGAGGTTGCAGGTATGCTGATGATGTGTATGTGCTGGCTAGTCTCTCCCACTCACTCACGCGGACGCTGATACAGGTATGTGTTTTCGGTCAGGGTACGGATACGTCTTTGTTCTTTATTTGGCGTCTTCTAGGTTGGTATATATCTTTCTAGGTTGGCGAATCCACTACTATAGATAGGCTAATGGGCGAGTTGCAAAGCATGGTAAAGCAGCATCTCCTTTAGTCAAGCTCGCTCCGCGGGAAGCCGTTTGTCCTCGGCATGGGGCCAATCATGACGATGGGAGGGGAGGGTTTGGCTCTGGCCTTGAGGTTTCTTGTCTGAAAGTGTATTATGTATTGGGATGGCATGTCCGGCCGTCCCGCGCCTCTGACAGGAAAAAGGGCCTTACCGGACGAGAGAGACACATTCATCAACCAGAGATCGAGATGTGCAAGGCCAGCCCACCACCACGCCAGGGAAGCAACGGCATTGTGGAAGGGGGCGGGGGAGGAAAGGTTTGAAAGACAGCACCAGAACGAGCTAGCCTGCCACGCGTGATGCGACGGACTGCCTGCATACTGCCTTGTGCAAGATTGGCATGACGACAACGGAGCTGAAGATGGGTTTGACGAATAAGGGTTGTTGGTTTCGCGTGAGAGGCCTTACCCACGATCGGCGGATGCTGAATGGTTGGGGGACGGACTCGTGAGAAGCTAGACTATTTGCAGGCTGCTCTCTCTCTCTCGGGCGCCCGGGATAGGAAAGGTTCGTGGGCAGTGTGGGCTCGGGGATGGATGGATGGATGCTCGACGGCCTACGAGATGCCGCAGCAGGCCAACCGGCCCCCAGGTAGTAGCAAGGGGGCTGCCGGCATTGACGGGAGACCTTTGGCGCCGACGAATCGGCGGGAGTCCCTGCGGCGGCGTAGTGCCATGCTTCCTTCTGCCTCGTGAGGAGACGGCGACGGCAATCGGGCTCCAGGGATGTGTGTAGACGTGGAGCCTGCCTCTGAATGCGGTGTTACGTGCATTACACTCTTTCTGACAAAGAAACAGAGTTTGGATTCCCCAGGAGAGGGCATGGATGGATGATGGATGGATGGGTAATGCATCTTGAACGTAGCATTTCATCTTACACCGTTGAACTTCCGTGTCCGCAGCCTCTCTGCATACCAGCCCTCCCGGGAAAATGGCCCGTCCAGTCGGCCATCACCGGGGGAGGGGGGGAGGGGGGCGGCGAGGAGAACTCAACCGCTCAATGCTTGGCTTACTTTGGGTACACTAGAGTTTGACCGCGTTTTGGATGGTGGACAAGGAGGAGGGGGGAGATGGGGAGAATCGATAGGTGATACTGTTTGTTTCGTCGCCGATCATTGGGAAATCATTGGAAAACCGCAGGCAGTTTGCCTGCTCATGTAGGTGGGCTCTCTGAGAGGTCTGGACTCGGTGCGAGAGATGCACAATATCGAATTCCGCAATCTCCTCGGCTGGCCGGGTCGCAGCGGCACCAGCAGCATCAGCAAGTCAGTTGACGAAACCCGATACGGCCGGGTTTGTACAGATATGCAAACTAAGACGTCTCTCACCGCCCCTTGAGACGGGTCTAGGACGCTCCCCCCCCCCCCCATCCCAGGCTATGAGGTTGACAACGAACGACTTTTGGGAGTGGATGTCGAGTGCATACGGCTCCCGGAGTCTTTCTCAACGCAGCATGATTCGTCCATCTCTCTCCCTTTGACCTGGGCACGTTCCCATCTGTGACAGCCCGCATTGGGTCGGGCGTTGTTGTCACCCTTTTTCCCTACTTGCAGCAACCGGCAGCTTCTCAGCCCCAGTCCCGATGGATACGCTCGCTAGCAACTGACAGTTAACAGCTCGGCCGCTTAGGTGAGAAGTGATGTGATAGAGGCCCGCCGAGTCTGCATTTTACCACTATCGTTCGTTTCTTTCTTTCTTTCTTTCTTTCTTTCCATAGCCCACCTACCAGCGGAGTGTGGAGTGCGGAGTGGCCTAAGCCGACTATTTGCTCCATCTCGCGCCGGCACTTGAAGTAAAGGCTGTAGTGTAAGCCCGGCTGCGGCCCCGCCACTAAGACCCTTTGCCTTCTTCTACCCCTTCCCACATCATCGGACGACACGAGACCTAGACCGATTCTGCCCATGGTGCATGATGCTTTGGATATCTTGGCGGGACCTGTATGACGGTGGTGCCTGAAGATGCGCGCGGAACTTGTCCACTTTGGGAGACTGGAGACATCACAGCGACAGACAAGCCAAGGGATGGAGGAAAGCTGGACCGAGATGCGGGAGATTGACCGAGGGACATGCGGTGACAGGAACTCCGATCCAGCCCTTTGAGACGGCCAACGGTTGGCAGCAGGTGGGCAGTGCGAAGCCGTGTGGCGCCGACGCATGGTTTTGCAGGTGGAACGATCGAAGACGCGGGAACCGCTTTCCAGAGACACACCAAGGAAGCAAGGGAGAGACAAAGAGAGATAGGTAGTGTAGTCGGCAGTGCGCGGCAGTTGCTATCCTTTGCCAGCCCCGTTACAACGTGTATCGTTGCTCTTTCGATGCCATGACACGAATCCGCATGTGGAACAGCGCATATGGCCAGCCTTGCGACAGCGAATGACAACGTGTGCGAGAGCAAGACAGTTTGCGCGGGTGTGTGGTGTAGTAGAGTAAGGACTGTCTACCGTATCTGTTCGACATCATTGATGACGACGGCGAGCCCGCGTGCGTACGCACGTCCCGTCTCAACGTCCACCGTTCAATAGTCGGATCAGGTATCCGTCTAGGCCATGAATCTCGCGCCCGGAGTCATGCCGCGGACGTCATGCCGGATGAATGGGAACGCGCGGTGGACGGAGGTGCCGAGGCCCGCACGGACGGAGCCGGCACTCCCAGGTCGGAGGAGACGTGTGAATGGATGAGGGGACCTAGAAGCTGCACTAGATAGAGACTTGGGGAAAACACGGTGCCTAGTGGGCCAACCGATAAAACGAAAAACGATCTACTGGTATCCATGCTCTCGTCCAAGATGGTGAGCGCTTGAACGTGGAGCGTGCCGTTCGCGAGATGGTCGATCTCACCCGTCTTTGGCAGGTTTCCGATTGCAATCCCTCCCTTCGGAGTTCTAACAACGGCCGCGCTCGCACCTTTCCCGGCTGCAATACGATTGATTGAGTCGTCTTCCTCCCTTAGCTCGTGGCCCGGCCGGCCAATAATGGTTCTGACCTGGGCAATAGACCAGTGGTTCTGCCGGTCTAGCTCGGTGAGACGCCCGCCGATGTCAGAGGACCCTCGATTGCACATGGCCGCCCCGATCCTCGAGAGACGAGCTGACAGACCATCCGCCGGGCTCTGCTTCCGCCGCTTCCGTTGATGTTCTTATCCCGAGGAAACGGGCGATGATGTTGACTCGGGCAGTGATCTTCGGCGTGGTAGACCAAAGTGCGCACACGGCCGTGGGGGAGTGTCTAGTGTAGCATGAGACTACCGCCAGCTGAATAAGTTCCCTGTCCGTCCGTCCAACATCGAGATCTAGAGCTGGGGCAGTTGTCAGGCGATGAGCAACTGGGGAGGCCACGCCAGAGAGCTACCACGAACTATCGAACGACTCGCCCTTTGTGAACTCAATTGAGGCGCAAGAGCGACATTTTCCTGGCTTCGGGCATCGAACCATTGGCGTCGTCACGTCTCTCGTGTCACTCGCCGGAACAAGACTCAGGATCCTCCCACCCACGAGGTCTCTGGGCTGTGCAAGATTGCCGAGAGATCGCCGTCCAGATCTAAGCTGCAAACGGTCCGGCTGGAACGGAATTGCTCTGTTCGGGAATGCAAGCGAGGACTTGACGCGCCCGCTTGGCCCGCTTCGCCAGTCAACTTCCCACCTAGCCCGTTGAAAGCCAAACACGCGCGCGCGTGTGTGTGTGTGTGTGTGCAAGTTCTGGGTGACTTGTCCACCACCACCACCAGCACGGGTTGCCGAAAACGATTGCGACGTTCACTACCTTTACGGAGCACGCCTTGCCGAGGACGTGACGATTAACTACTATGCTCCCTCTCTGCCCTGAAGTGGTCTCAAGTCCATGCCCACCCTCCCCGCCTGCTCTGACAGCCGCCGTCTGATGTTCTTCAGCGCTATGAGGTCAGCCACTTGCCCTCCCCGCGGAATGTCCCTTTGGCGATGACTGATTGGCAAGCCCCGGCTACCAGTCCGAGGACACGGCGTTGTGGCGATAATGAACTCGGCCCGGAGTACGTGGCTGCAAACACCCCCCCCCCCCGCCTTGACGGCCATCGTGGCTGTGGCGGCCGAGCGGCGGCTCGACACATGTTGACGCTGAGCACGGCGGTTGGGGGAGCTTTGCTCGACATCCGGCCACGACACGCCCATCGTGCCATTCAATTTGGCCCAAAACGGCAGTGAAATCAAGGACGCCCCTCCTTTCCTGGCGTGTGAATGAGCGATCTAACCGCTTGCAGGGTAGCCTCATGACGAAGCCACGACGCCCTGATTAATCCTCCGCGTTGCCTTCCATTGCCAATAGCCTGGCAGCCATGCCCGCGCTATCATAAGTCAGACGAGGGTCTCAGCTCGCGGAATCGCGGGAGAGGCATACGAGAAATCTTCCGACAGGCCCGACAAGGTCTTCGTCTCCAGACCAGGGCGTCACCGCTAAGCCAAGAGCGGGCGCACGGTAGCGCTTCTCTCGCGGGCTCCCATCGACCAAGTCATGCCCCACGGTTAGACTAGGCTGTTTGGGTTACGACGCCTCTCGGACCTTGGACGTGTTGGGCAGAGGGACCCGAGGGCAAACGCCCCCCTCGTGACGTCAGGTGATCTATGCAGCATGGACGCGACACCCAGGAACCAGACTGGCTTGCCCTATCCTCGCCCCCCCTTCTTCAGGGGACTGAGAGCGGGCTCTCGGACGGTGTCAAGCTCATCACCTCCCGGTACCCACTCCGCGCAGACGGGGGGGAACCGCCGTCTTGGAGGCGAGAGCTGTGGCGTGGTGTGTGGCGGCCAACAGCATTCACGACAGTGACTGCTTGCGGTAGGCACACACATTCCCTTCCCTCAGGCGTGCGCCTACGACTGACTGTCTGGAACCCGTCCAAGCGCGAGACAGAGCCTCCGCTGCGAGAAACACCGGGTGTGATCGTGTGTCATTGGAGACAGCGCCAAGAAACAAGTGCTTTGGCATCGGCATCGTCGCGGGGCGATGATTGATGATGGGCCCAGGGCCAGAAGGCACGGGTCACGCGCTGAAGACTTACACACGGGGGAGGAGCCCTGATGGGGTTGCTTTGATGCGAAGCTTCGAGATGGGCGCTCTCTTGACGGTGCCAAGAGTAGGGACGTGCTCATTAAGATTGCCCCAGTTGATTTATAAGTGTCGTCTGGTCATCCTATGGAGTGGGAGTCGTTCTGGTACACCATCTTGACGTGATGCGACAAATAGCTAGAGCATGTGTGTACTGGGGGGCCACGACCCGAGCTGTGCACAGCAGCGCACGCAGGTGCTCATTATGCCGCAATACGAGTACAGACGGGCGTAGATGGATATCCCTTGGTACTGGGCGGGCCAAAAAGGACGACGTCGGAGACGCGTGGCGCTTCCGTTCCCATCCGCTTGGGTGTGGCTGAAGGACCCCTATGCCCTGCCAATACATTGCCAGCCGTAGGAAGGCAAGCCGACACGGGCTTTGGTAATCTCCATGGGCCATGACGCCCGGCGACCGCAGAGGGGCCACGCGGGGGGGAATCGAGTCCGAGAGCCGCCCCGTTGAGTCATCAAACAGCCTTCCTCCGTCTCCCGAGGCCAGTCAGCGAATCCTGGGCGCGCGGCGTCGGTGGCCAGATTGTGCGAGATGAAGAGGGACAGGTCGTCATCTGCCAACTGGTGCCTCGAAGGATCGACTGCTGGGAACCATCACGGCAGATCGTGAAGCCAAGCGCCGACTAGGCTGGCAGGGTCCTTGGGTACTCTCTCTTCTTGTTTGCTCTCGGCGCATTCAGTTTGGGCCCTTGCGCCCAATGACTCGTCTCGTCATTCGGATAGCCGCTAGAACCACGCCGGGACGGCGTGGTCTTATCGACGTCGGGTGTGGTGCGGAGTGAAGGTATCCGAACTCTAAGTCTTGGTAAGGTGGTGGCTAGATGGCGGAGGTTGTGGACGCGATGATAGTCTCGCAGCACGCGTTCGTCGCGGAAGGCGCCGCCACGCGTGGTTGGGGGCATTTGCGAGGGTACCATGGCCTGTTCCCTACTAGGTACATTGTAGATGAGGCGCGAGTAACGCGAGAGAGCGAAAGTTTAACCAGGTGAATGAGATGTTGGCCAACCGGTCGCCTCCAAGCGGGATTGATCATGTTTCTCTTGTGTGATCTTGGGTGGCGGAGCGCCAAAGAGGGGGGGGTGACCTGATGGTAGTGGTGGTGGTGGATGGAGGGAACAGACCACAAGCGGGTGGGCAGACAAACCGTCCACCAAGAACGGGCAAGGCTATCTCGATCGAAGCAGGAAAGGTGGATGGACATACCCAGCCGAGTTGGCTTGAGAGTTTGTGTACTACCGTATCCTCTCAGCAGATGTGAAATCCGCACGGGCCACACGCTAGTCCCATTATAACAGGCGGTCAACCTACCTACACACACACCCACCCATATAACCCTAACCCTTGCCACCTACCTGCTGCTGACGTAAATGAATTCCTGTATTTGCCACATCTAGATCCCTGTTTCTGCCAGCCCGCTTACCCCTTTCCAGCAGCCCGTGGCCCGTGCGGATTTCACATTTGCTGAGAGGATACGGTATGTGGGAAAAGATCGTGGGCGGCCGCAATGGTTCGTCGGCGGGGTTTGTTCTGGTAAAGCCTGACTCGTTTCCAGCGCCGTTCGTGAGATTGCCCGGGTTCCTGCTCATGGCCGAACGCGCTCTAGAGCGCTTGTCCTGTGCAAGCTCGCGTTCTGCATGACCTTTTCCGCTTCGTCCGCTTGCAGGGACAAGCCGTGGCTGCGGGAGACTTTGTCAGCATGATAGCGGCCGCGACCTCGAGAGTTAGCTTTTCTGGTTCTGGTTTGGGACTGGGGAAGGGGCAGGAGATATCGTTTTCGGCAACGCTATGGTGCCAGGGAGGGAAACGATTCCTACCCTGTCCTGCGACCCCCCATACCTAGTCGGACTTTCACAAACGGACGGGGACGGCAAGCCGTAAGGTTTTGGGCGGCATCTAGGGGTCTCCATACCGCGCGTGAAGGCTGCTCCGGCCGGCGAGGTTGCTCCGTGCCCATCGGCTTCATGTCCGGAGTTCGGCCGGGGTTCTCTTGTGAAACCTGGCCAGCGAGGATGGTGCTTGCTAGGCGCTAGCGAACATAGTTTGAGCTTCTTCATTCTCCATCATGGGGTCACCTCGGACGACGGCAAGGGCCAGGTTCGCGCACTTCCGCCGACTTCAGTTGGTCCAGAAGGGGTGAACTCAGGAGAAAGGCAACTCTGAAGATAGGGTTGAGTAGCTTTGCCCTACAACAGTTTTGGGCGAGTGAGACGGTGACAGCGTGTCTAGGCCTTTTTTTTTCTTTTCTTTTGATTCATCATGCGTAACTACCAGAATCGGACTCGCCAGCCAATGATGCGGGACAAAGGACGAGTTTTGAGTTGCGGGACGAAGAATAAGAAAAGTCGAAACACCCGCCAATGAGTCTTGGATTGGCGATTTGATATTGAAGATAGCCTTGCCCTAAGATTCTCGGGTACTTCGGCGTTTCTGCGACGACGGGGACCAAAGCTGATACTCGTGTGCGACTCCTTTGAAGAGCTTAGGACGAATCTCCTACCATTCTTATTGCTGAGTGCTTTTGGGATGGGGGAGAACCTTCTTTCTGGACGAAGCAGAACGGATGAAGTCAGGGGGGCCTGTAGCTTTGAAGTCATCAACTTTTGCCGACACACACATTTTTCGATCTCTTGTCACGGACGAATTTCGGAGTCGTCAGAACGTGGCAAACTTGATTTCGGACGTCGCTTTTTGCTGCTTTTCTCGACTATAGATAGTAAGGCTGTTCGCTTTGATGCCATCTTTCAGCAGACTTGAAACAGTCCCCATAAGGATACTTGAACTATGAGCTTAAGTCAATCAAGCCTTCCGTGTTTTGTATGGGAGAAAGGGCATCGTCACTAGAAATATAACATGGTAAAGTCAATCATTCGCATCATGGCAGTTTCCATCGACAACCGCGAAAGTGGCCCTTTTCCTCGGGCCCTGTGACCTTTCTCGGATTCGGTTCAGCCAAAAGCTATTACATGCCCTTCTTGCAATTGCAACTCTATCTCGACCATATCGCCCGTCTCAACCCTTGTATCATCTTGTCAACCAGGCTGCCGCCTTAGTCACTCGGCTTGATCGGACCTCCGGGGACCGGAGATTGGGTGACGATGGCTCTACCCGGAACCGGCTTGTCGGGGATGAGTGGACCACCGGGAATTGGATTGCCGGGAATGGCGAGTCCGACGATGACGTCTTCGTGGCAAGCCTTGAGAGCGGTGATGATAGCTTGATCGAGGTTCCGGATCTTAAATGGTGGGGTGCTGCCGTAGATCAGAGGCAGGCTGGTGAGGGTCGCGCGGAGACCAATCACATCCGAGTCTCTACAGCAGTCGACATCGAAGATTTGACATTTGGTGGATGGGCCAAAAGTAGTGGTTGCGCCGCCGAGGTGGTGTTAACGTTAACGCCCCTGCTAGCTAGGATGTCGGCCAGGTGCAAGAGAACCATCAATGTAAGTTCTGATGGAGGGTTTTGCTCCATCAGTAAAGGGTTTGGTCGGGGCGGAGTAGATGTCCTTAATCGAGATCTCCGATCTGTTCACGCCAAATTGGCGTGGGAAAGTCCAAGAATAGGTTACCAAGGGCACTCACATACGACTAGCAAATATAGACAGCAGCAGTGCATGCCAATTTTGACTGCCTTCGATTGGAGGTCAACCTGTTATGAGAATCCAGTTATGCGATTGACCCAGGCGATTCTGAGCCACAATGGCCTAAGTTTATGGGATCGGAAAGAGAACTTACCTCTCGCCTGTCGGGCATGATTATTGGTGTATCGATAGGAGGAAATTGTGCCACCTAAGTTCGAGGGAGGGGTTCCGCCTGGAAGAACATGGTAGAGCCGTCTCCCCGTAACGCTGAGCAGCATCAGTGTAGAAGCCCACATTATGAACGCTCGCGTGTCTCTATGTCGAACTCATAAAACAAACATGACAAGTGAGATTGGAAGCTGAAAACCAGACTGAGCGCGGTGGATTTTATACAACAGTAGCTGGTCTACGGCTAGAGCTTGTACGTAACATGATTGCAGACTTCAACGGCAGAATATGGTAGCATAGACGGCTCGTTAATCTACTCCCGGCTGATATTTAAAAGAATGGGAGTGTTGTATAAAAGAGGCAATATATACCATATTAATTGCATCGGCTGTGGCTCCATATTCAAAGGCAGCGAACGACCTTACTCGCATGATTAGATTGTGACTTACCCGGGGCTCAACAGATGATATGGAAACTGACGGGCTTGGGGCAGAGGAGCCGGTCTAGATTCACAGCCAAATGAACCTCAAATATTGAACACCCGTGAAACAGGGTTGTATTCATTCAGCTATGGCTTATCGCCGTTCGAGACATTCCAACAAATGCTGTTCTGACACTATACCTACCTCTGCTGAGTGGCCCTATTGTTGACTTCTTCACTCTGACTTGAGCACCTGACGCGCTAGCCGAATCTATGGGTCGGCCAAGATGCCACCCGCCTAGACTCAGATACATTTCCAGAGGAAGATAGGAGCTGTGTGATGACATTGTATTGGTCTCTCGGGACATTCGTTTGTTTTCAAGCGAATTGGTTCGGCATCAAGTATCCAAACCGTTCGGAACACTACCCTTCGACTCAGCCCAATGTTGAGGCTCTTGGATAATAACGCATCTTCTCCACAGCACTTCTCGAATCAACCGGCTGGATATAGTACAACTTTCATTATCGTAAACTATGAGATGGAGGCTTTCTGAGATACAAAGAACAAAGAGTCTGTGTCGAGTACTGCATCCATGATGATTTGGCTGTGGGTCCCAGGCAGCCCGCCACCCGTCCTGCAAACTCCTGTTCTGCCAGATGTATTAAAGGTCGGATGATCTAGTTAAGTTTAACCTGAGAATAAACCAGACAAGTAGTATAGAAGTAATCAGTCAGTTATTTGCACATAATTTCGACACCTCAAGGTGGCAAGGCGCCGGAGCACAGTATGGGCCAGATCATCAGAGACAGCACTTGGAAGAAAGTCGATTTATATTGCGGCGGGCATCTTGACATCGGCATCCACAGGTTTGACTGCCTTTAGCTTACACTAGAAAATCAGCCAGAATTTTAATTATTTGATAGAACCAATTGATCGAGTTTCTGATTTTCGAGTAGCCGGCTTTGACCTGACAAGATGTTCAGCATGGTTGAGATAGAATATCTGCAAGTAGGATATCTGCAAGTTAATCAAGACTTCACCATGAATTTGGTGCACTCAATGAATAGCTTCGCTGCGTAACCCCTGTAGTCGGCGTGCCCATAATTCCATGTCTGTGTCAGTCCATAATGAAAGGCTTGGAATCCAGATTTCTCAGTTGTCCATCTGCTTCTGTAGCCTCTGTTGGTTACCAAGAGGAAAGAGAGTTCTCCGTCAACTCATTCGCGCCTTTTATACCAAAAGTACCTATATTATCGGTTAGTATTGGGATGTTTCTTGGTTTAATCGATCTTGTGGAAATTTCAACAATGTTTGAAAAGGCCACCACATCCATTTGCGCTCTGGATCTGCTTGTATTTACAATATTATGCTTCCTACATTCAGTTATTCGGAACCCTTTATTCGTATCTATATACAGCCGATGTTGGCTTATTACAGACCAGATGCACCGCATGATTGAACTATCCATATCATCATTTGCTTCCTTTAGAGCGAACTATCCTAGACCGCTTGTAAGGAGACAGATTCATGTTATCCGCCAAGTATTGCACCAGGCCCAAAAGTATCACTGGGAAGAACGGCAGTTTATTAGACAGACCTCAAGTGACCAAAGCCAGGAGGTGCATCACCTCCTAAGATGGCATCGATGGCGTTAAGGTCACCGGGATCAAAGAACTCAAAAACATCAAACCCTGCAGGTCCCTCAAAGAGAGAAGCGTCGAACCCCGAGATTGATTCGCTATGAAGTGGGAGGTTCTCGACCCCCGCGGCGTTGGCCATCTCAGGACCCCCTGCAGCGGTTGTATCCCCTTGGCGAGTAGCAGTCGGCGTGCCAGCAGAGTCGTTCACATTCTGCTCGTTCAGCGCGTTGGAGCAGACTTGATCGATTTCTTGGATGACCTGCTCGGCCAGGTCTACCATGACGAGCGCGGAGCGGAACATACCACCGAGCTCCTTGAGTACCTTGCAAGTTGATTGGAATTGACGGCGAGACCTCGCGGTCAACATCGGGACTTTGCTGGACCGAAGCTCTCGGTAGGCAACTCGCAGAGAGAGCGATACGGCGTATGGCACGAACGTCATGTGCGATAAAGAGTTGGCAAACTGCTCCACAATCGCCGTTATTTTGATGGCAGAAAGAGACTGTCGAGTGTATGCTAAGGATAGGTGCTCAGATCGTGTTGATCCAACCGGGATACGACAGGACAAAATCGCAATGCCGTGGTAGAGCAGCTCAATCGAGGCTGCGATACGATTAGCGTCTTGTCAGGTGTTTGTAGGTGGGGGAGGGCTGCTGAAGCCTTACCCAGAAGACGGGATTCGACACCGAGGGCCTGTGTCATTTCGACGAGGCTCTCGAAGCTTGGGAGGTCTTCCATAACAACGCAGCCAGTATTATTCGCTGCTGGCCGATACAGGTCGATGATGCGGCCCAGCAGAACTATAATCTTGAGGAACAGCCGGAAGCAGCTGTCTTGCTCCGCGATGCAAGCCTCCATGTCCCGTCCCAGGTCTCTTTCATGCATCATCACCGGCCGGCCATGAAATGCAGCGTTGAGCTGGTCCATTGCCCAGACGCAACAGAACAACCGTGTTAAATAGGCAGGATCCTCAGACCTCGCTGGCGGATTTTGAAGGTGAAGGCCGACTGTTTGAGCGTTGCTCACAGCTTGTGCTGCCAGTTCGGCGGAAAGGTGGCGGTCTTGGGAGAAGTGAGTATACAATGAGAGAATGACGAGAATAGACACTGCCTGAACGCGATCCTTGACTAATCCGAGACCGAGTGCCTTCCGGATAGCTGACGAAAGACGGAGAGCAAACTCGGAATAGGCTAGTACCACTGACGAGTCTTCACCGAGTGTCAAATATGGCTTTGCACTCGGGTTGCACCCTGCCGCCAGACAAACGGCCTGCTTGCAGAGTACTTGTGATATCGTGGATGTTGGCTCTTCGAGGATGTCCACGTTCATTATGGGTAGTATCCTGTGGACATCTCGGAGGTAGATCTTTTTTAGCTGGTCATAATGTTCTTTCTTGGGCAGCACGGCTAGGAACTGATGCTCAGCATGGTCCATGGAGACCGCGGATGCAAGTTCTGTAGTTAGGTTGTTTTTGCTGTTCCTGCGAGAATACCATACGCCCACAGAGTTAGACTGTGCGTACCCACGGCGCGTTCCGGGACTATCTGCGAGGAAGGCCCCTTCTGGATTTAGGTCACCAACGAATCTATCCTCGTTATTCTGTATTGATTCCTCATCAATCTTGAGCTCTGGGCTAGAGTTTCGAGGCGTCGAGTGCTCAGCTAGTGCCGATAGGCTGACGCTACGTGAAGACGGACTGGCAACGTGAGGCCGAGGGCTCATTGTCGGGGGCACCGAGCCGGTAACATGAATGGACTCTGATACCTCACTGGCGTCTCCATCTTCCGGGCGGGTTGACAAAGCCCCCACGACCGCTGGGCTGTACTGAAGGCAAGGGTCTATGGGGGTTGCTGCATTTGGGGAATCGCTTGCGGCTGTAGAAGAACCAAGAGTGGCGAAACGGCCCCTCTTCCGCCAGTGAACCGTATGCGGAGGCGGAGACTCCCCCTCCCCTAACGGATGTTCACATCGTTTCTGTAAAGTCCGTCAACCTCAATACTCTGAACAGGTCTGGGCCGTCTTCACCGGTAGGTGATTTTTTATTGGCTATTAAGGGGGTATTCGAGCAGTATCCTGTAGAGCCGGTCTACCAGCTGGTATGGAACGCGGATAATGAAGCGGCACTGCACATCAACCGTTTGGCGGGATGAAGTGGAGAGTTGAACCGACCTTTCGCCTACGGCAAGCATCACATGCATGCAATGCGATCTTGCGCTTTGTCACGGGTACGTTTGTGGTGTTGATGAACTTGAGGTTCAGCATGGCGGCGTGAAGATGAAGGCCGTCAACATCGTCTTCGCGTAATGGCCTCGATTCGTGATGCAGTTGTGGGGGATGCGGGATGTGGGGCAACTCGGCGACTGCGGGCCGGAGTATCCTAGACCGGGAATGCCGACATTTAGCTCGCTAGAGCTAGGAGAAAGACCAAATGACGTATCCTTCACCATCTTGCCTAACAATAAGATGGCCATTCGAAAGACCAACCTCATTCTGGGCAGTGAACTTAAAGTGATCATCATATGCTCAGTCTTTCCGCCAGCAAAGTATCAATGTGAACCAGCGGTTGTAATGGATGGCTAGAGGTGGATCCGACACCAACACCCATCACGTGAATCCCAAGTACGAGAACCTTAAAGAGTTACGACGTGACGGTTTACCAAGGCTCTGACTTCCAAGTGGCAAAGTTATTCCGTTTTGAACCGGGAAAACAACCGATAACTCAAAAAGAGAACTTGATGTCCTCGAACAGTAAAGCCCGCATTCTTGATCCCGGAAGTGTAATTGCCGGTGTCTGCCGGCAAGCCCAGGGGGTCCCGACGACCCTGTCAAGTATATCCAGGCCAGCAAATAATGGTCGTATGCGGTCATAGTAGCTTATTCTGCTGTAAAACCAAGCACGAGTCAATATTGATTGTCCCAGTAGATACCAGCTTCACACGGCTTACACAATCCCTATTAGTTCCAGGTTTTTTGACAAGGTTTTAGAGATAAAGAGAGGCCGCATACCACTGATTTGTGGCTCAATGCTATAACGGACAACGGTGATGGTGCCGAGTTCGATGCAGCTTACGTAAATCACTAAACGTCACCCTCACGTAGAGTGCGGGGTTGAGTGCATTGTAATCAGGCTGCTCCAAATCATGTTGAAGGCGGAAGAGTCAAACAATCGTTTTGGCCCTCTGCAAGTGTCATTTTTGAAGTACTCCAGTCTTTCTCACCGTCCATCAAGGAGAACCTAACGATGTCCAAGCCTGGACAGTTTCGAGCTGAGTAAGTGTAGGATAGTAGCATAACTTCGATTTGATCCTGAGAACAACTGACGGCTCCTCTTGTTCTCGGCGTGTATATATGTATGAGCTGATGAAAATATAGTCTCCCCGAGCTTGCTCGCCATCTGCTCCTTAATGGCCCTCACAGAATCCAGAAAACTTCCCGACGCGTTCGAGTCATCCTAAATCAAGCGTACATTGTTGACACAACCAACGCGATCCATGTGTGGGAGCACGTTGCCTACCCGCAGTATTACGTGCGTATGTCGGAGCTCCAAAACTGCAGTTGGAAAGACAAGGAAACCGTTTATTCTGCTGGAGATTCACCAGTCGCTGCGGCCCATGTGGTCGAAGTCACTGTTCCAGGGCAAAACGGTGCCAAGGATTTAGTGACCGATCGGGTCTTACGATTCTCTGATGATGAGGAGCTCAATGGTGCATTCAAAGGCCTGGTAAGACTGGAATTTGGGAGTATGGGTAAGAGACAGTGTGATGAGCTACTGGTGATCAACAAGATATTGATAACTTCCAGATCAATGGTTAGAAGAAGAAACGCCCATCTACGTTCATCCAAAAGATCCGTTCAAGCGCATCGACATTCTTCCGTCTTCGCGACCCGTCGAAGTCAAAGTCGCCGGAAGGAGCGTTGCTAAGACCAACTTTGCCGTCCATTTGCTAGAAACAGGCCTGCCTACGAGGTACTATCTTCCATTGGCCTCAGTTGACCAATCGGTACTTCGGAAGAGCGAACTAGTCACGAAATGCCCCTACAAAGGCGATGCAGAATACTACCACATTGTAGTCAATGGCGAGGAGCACAAGGATCTTGTCTGGTACTACAGGAATCCGACGCATGAGAGTGCAGGCATAGCCGGTTTATTGTGTTTCTACAACGAGAAGGTTGACATCTTTTTGGACGGTCAGCTTCTGGAAAGGCCCGTGACTTTCTTTTCCTGAATTCAAGTATAACGAAGGAAAACAGATCAAAATCTTGTGATTGTCTGGAAACTATACCGAACGAAACGCGGTCAAAGGTTCTCTTGGAAGAGGGATACTTGTAAATCATTGAGAAGGACAGAAACTGCTAGGGGGCTTTTCGTGTTGTTGTATTTCTTGATTGTCAAGTTAGGGATACATGTTATACATTTCTGCGCTCTCTACAATCTGGACTTTTGAAAGTGGGCCACCGGGGCAACTATGGTTGGTGCTACCCATTACGTAGTTTAAAATATACTTATCAAGGGCTTCTCTTCAATCAACAAGAATGCAAAAAGCATCTGTAGCAAGCACACAAGAGGTAACCTGTTTACCACATTTCTCGTCCAGCTTTTGCATCGCTTGAGGGGTGAACCGAATCAGAGTCAACCCCAAAAGATTATGTGATCATGAGTGCGGTGGCTTGCTGAGATAATACATTTGTCCTAACGAAGGTGTTCGCTTCGATTGGGAGAATATCGATTGGGTGGATATAGTCGAATTACATACGCCCCTGAACAATCTTAAAGCCTGTTTTCCGATTGATCTGCCGACTAGACTGCCGAAGGTTGTGAAAGGAGATGCTGCTGCCATCACTCTAAAGCTTATTACGACTGGTACTTTTGTCAATAAACTAGATTTTCTTACTGCTAGCTTCCTTAATTGCTCGTGTGAGTCGCCACTCGTAGGCCCATTGTTCTTCAATGCCACCTTGAGCTGATTAGCGTTTCGTCAAAAAATTGGATTTGGGTCTTTATTATCAAAATTTCGCTTGTGAATTTAAAAATACTCCGGCGTTGAATCGTGTGAGACGCCATTCGTACCGAAGCCCTGAGGCGTATACTCGGCCATGAAAACTGGAGGCGCCATTCTGTAGAGGTCTGGAGGAAACACCTGCATGGCCTGCGTGCAGTCTATGACGTCTTGCGTTGATCTCTCCTCGGCAGCATGCTCTAGGAGCAGCCGTTCTTCGTGCTCCTTTAATTGAGATAGAGAGGCCTGCTGCAGCACGAGTGATGTAGCAACTGGCGTCAAAGATTGACCAATGGACTGGGTCACTGGTATGTCGGCAATGAGTTCGGGAAAGCGCGCGAAAAGGTCATGCCCCACGGTCCAGATGTTAAGGTCCCTAATCTTCTGCTCGAACATGGGCGATAATTGGTACTGCCCCGTGACCACGCACTTCTTGTACGCGTCGCGGAACTCGAAGGGCCACAGGACGTGTATGTTTGAAGCAAAGAGCTGCCAGAACTGGTTGTTACAATAAGCATGTTGTCCAAACACGAAACGCTCTCGGAGACCTGGCCTAGTAAAAGTTAGCGTGACCACCACAAGTGAGATGATAGTAACGAGCGTTCGCTGCTTACCAAACGAAGAAGTCGATGGCGTAAGAGTGAGGCAGTGTTTGCGATGGCCTGTATCGTGTCAGCGGAAAGGTTTCTCTTCGTTGCGCGTGATGCGCCAACGCAATCTCCCAGTATACCTTTTTAGATACCACGGCGGCAGCTTGGCGTACCGCTCCGGCGTGGGATCGGAATGACATTTTAACTGCATATACATCATCCAAAGAATTGCTAGTCGGTCTGACAGGGAACAGTTGAGAAAGAGCACCTCATCAACCGCGCGCAGCTTCTCCCACAGCTTAGACAAAGGCCTTGACTTGGCAACAGCATCCCACCCCTCAATCAACGCGCGGACAGGCACATCCTCATCATCAGCATCTTCGGCCACTTGCGCGGCCTCCGAGACATGGCACCTTTTGGTCAAGGCCTGGTTGATAGCCCGCCAAAGATTGAACTTATGTGGAGCCGGCCCAAGCCGCGTCGGGGCCACGGCACAGTCGCATGGTGCTGTGGGCGGTGGTACGATAACACTAGCGTCGTCGTCGTCTTCGTCTTTGTCGTCCTCCTCAAGCTCTTCGATAAAGTCTTGATTGTCTGACGTGGAGGTGGAGGCGTGACAACTGGACGCCGAGAACTCATTCGTTGCTGTGCCGACAACCCCGAGTTCGTTGCCAAAACCGCTGCCACAGAGCGCGTGGGGGTTCGTGCCAGAGGGAGTTCCGGGCAGGAGGCTGATTGGTGCCGAGTACGAGTGCGACGACGGCCTTGTCGTTATGGCATCCGGAGGGTTGGGCAGGGGTCCTGACTGTCCGGCCGGAGAGAGTGGCGTCGCTGCTGGGGCCTGGCGACTCGGCAGCACATGCCTGCGGATCATTTGCTCAATGGACTTGACTGTGTCGACCAGGCTGTCTCGCTCGTGGGTGATAGTGGCGAGCTGCTCCATGCAGGCGGATAACCTCGTCGAATCATCCTTCCTGAGTTCCTTGATTTGAGACTCGAGCTCGGCGATGCGGTTGCGTGTCCGTTCACGGGCCTGCCTTTGGGCTCGGCGGTCAAGATCGCGTTTTCGGATCTTGCGAGCGAGCTCCTTTTCGGAGGGAACCTTTGCTGGCCGACCACCTGATGGTGGAGTGGGGGTATCATTTGGCCCATCGTCGGATGCCATAACTGCCAAGAGGCCCGGAGAAGAATATGATAGAAAAATGAGGGCGGAGGGCGCAGAGGGAAACGAATGCAATTATTTTTGCTGGTTTCCCCCCTCTTTTTTTCCCTGCTTAGGTGCGCGCAAGTAAAGATGGGAAGCCGGATAGTTACGCCGGCGGGAAGATATGAACCGATAGACCACGCACAGACTGTGTCGAAGAAAGTAGGCAATATGTGTATCAGCGGACCGAACGGACATCATTAGCAATCAAGAAACTAGGTAGGGTGGGAGGACACAGGGAGTTAGAAAGGCAAATGCAAAGCTTCTTTGGTGAGACTGAAATGCCCAATAGGGGGGGATTAACCGATTCAGGTGCTCTAAACGCCAACCCCGAGCTACAAAACGGACAGATGGGAGGAGGGGAGAAGATGAGTTGAGAAAAGGGGCTAGAGAGTGTGGGGTACATTGCCACAGCCCTGTTTTCTTGGGCCTGGCACTTTCTTGGGGGGTGCTTTTCCTTGCGTTGCCTTGCTTGCCCGACTTCTGAGCTGGGATTCCTACGTAGCATTGGTTGTAAACCTTCGTCTTGATAGATTTCGGACATGAGAGCTCCGCATTCAAACTCTCCCCCTTATCTGACGAACCAAACCTTTTGCTGCGACACTAGGGCCAGCAGAGAGGCATTTGCTTGAAGCTTCGTGGACTGCCTTCGTTGCTGCATGTCGACTCTTGCAACTCCAATACTAATGGGTTAATCGGTATAATTCCTCACTCTGTTGTTTCTGCCCCGGAAGGGCCTAGCGGAGAGACGAAGCCCTTCCCTCATCTAGCTCGGTAACAAAGCGTCACACTAAGAGCTGTATCCCTGTTGTCAGGGTTAACAGACGCGAGTTGAGCTTAACAACAAGCTCAAGCATCAAAAATGGATTAACGAGACAATCCAACTTATCGCTCTTGGCGTCATCCCCCATATTGTGGCCCCCTACCTCGGGTTAACAGGTGATCTGCTTCCTTCCTCCCTCGGGTTGAAAATCAGTTCCAACACTGGCAACGATAGAGTAAATCCATCTTTCTGCCCTTCAACGAAAGCTCGCACTGTTTGCTTCGGAGCAAATTTCACATCGTGTCGGTGAATGATTTGGCTGGCACAGTACCGGGTCTCCATCAAGCCAAGCTGCTTTCCGGCGCAGGAGTATTTGCCTATGACACGCCATCTTGTCAGCTCTTGTAGCGTACAGGTCCGTAAAGCATTGAAGGTATGAGTTCCCAGTGCTTGCTTGCTTACCTGTGCCGAAAGGGACAAAAACCGTAGGGTCCATAACCATCTCTGGCCGAGTGGTCCATCGCTCGGGGATGAACTCATTTGCCTGTGAAAACAAGCGCTCATCTGGATTTGCCACAAAGCAGCCGTTAGAACACGAACCATAACCGAACCCCAGTTAGTACAAAACTTGCCTCGAAACATTGTATATGTTGGCACTTGAATAATGGTGCTGCCCGGGATGAAAGTCCCATCAATTTCCATGCCTTCGGGCGGTGTCATTCGCTGAACGCCCGACGGCACCGGGGGGTGCAGTCTCAAAGCTTCATCGATGCAAGCCTGAAGGTAAGGGAGCTTTGACAGGGCTGAGTGTTCAGGTTCCGCATTCTGTGAGAAAAAGTCGTCGATTTCCTCCCTTAGGCGACTGTAGACGTCCGGTTTCTGAACCTGTTGTGATGTTGACTATTGCGGATAAATATCGGAGTTATTAGGTTAACCCTGATGACTCATCGCCGGCAAATCCTCAGATATCTAGCCATAGATTCTCTAAGGATTTGTAGGTAATAAGTTAGTTATTTAACTAACTAACCTACAATAATTATCCTTCTTTTCTTTATATATAATAGAGAACTATAGTTACCTCTATTATTTATTAATTACTACTAATATATATAGTTAACTATATTAACTTATCCCTTAGTGTTACTAACACTAATTAGTAGTTAATTTTACTGTTAACTATATAGGTTAACTTTACTATCTAAACTATAGATTAGCAAGGACTACAAGAAGAGGTAATTATTATTAGTTAATTATTTATATACCTAGAGTAGATAAGTACTAAAAAACGCCTCTATAAATACCTTTACTATAATAGTTTATACTAATTACCTATTACAACAGGTTAATTAATAGATCTATAACTAGTCCTTTTAACTAGTAGAAACCCTATTAATTTATGTCTATTATATAAGCTTTATTGCCTTTAGAGAAGTACTTTTAACTATAAAAAACCTTTTACTTTATGTACCTATAGCTAACTAGTAATTATTTACTATATCCTATTTATTATAAGCTCTTTAGCTTACTAACTTCTTTTTCCTATATATACCCTCCTTTTACTAACTAATAGCGTTAACAAGTTACTAATATAATAGCCTATTATTTCCCCTCCTTTTACTAATTAACAGCGTTAATAAGTAGCTAATATAATAGCCTATTATTTCTCCCTAAGTTATTTATCTATAAGAGTATATTTTTCTTTAACTATTTATACTAATAGTAGTAATCCCTCTAATAAACGTATATGCCTTCTAGTCTACTAGAAGAAACGCCTATATTTAAGAGGTTATTAGGCTAACAGAGGGTAATAGTAAATAATACTACACCTATAAGCAGAAGACCTAAGCTAAGATAAGTAAGTATAATAAGCTTATAAGCAAGTAAGGCTTATAAGCTACTGCCCTATTACCTATAAGGCAATAAGAAGAGATTTATAGTAAGTATAATATACTACCTAACGTAAAGTAGTAAGTAGTAGTAATTAATAATATATTTACTATACTTACTAACTTTATATAGTATATCCTTTTATAGTAATAAGGAAAAGACTATATTAAGAAGTTACTAACTAACCTTATAAGTAAGTAATAAGCTTTTACGCTTAACACTATTACTATGTTTTATATTAGTAGTTATAAGTATTATAACTATATTAGTAGTAAATTACTTTACTACGCCTATAAAGATTTTAGTAAATAGTCTATAAATAACTTTAAGGTAATTAACTAAAAGGTCCTAATAAGCCTATATAACTTCTTTATTAATTATAGTATATAGGTTAACTATAGTAAACACCTGTTAATTACCTAACGTATATTTAATACCCTTTAACAGAAAGAAGGCGCCTACTAGACTAATAAGATAATTACTATTATTAAAAGATTATTATATAATTTTAAACTATACCTTAAAGACCTTAACTTTATTAAGAATATTTAAGGTTATAATATAATCCTATATAGTAAAAAACTAGCTAAAGTACACCTATTACTAGTAATTACTTATTAGACCTCCTATAATAACTTAACCTTTACCTTACTACTACTTTTATTAACACTAAAACCTTATATAATAGCTAAAATCTATAGCCTATATATAATAACTACTGCACTACTATAGGAGCTCTTATTAACTATAGCAATATTAATAGTAATATTAAGGCTAACGCTAAAGTAAATAAGTAACCTTATAAAGATATACTTTAATAACTAGGCTATAAAGTATACTAGTAGCTAGTATAAGACTATTAACTTAAAATTACTATTATTTTATAACTTTTATGTCTAGGTAAGTATAATATAAGACTACTATAAAGCAGTAATTTAAGTAATACTCTAAAGGGAACTACAAGAGTATTATACTTCTACCCTTTACTAGTAGGTAGGTAATTTTAATACTTTAATAGTAAAGCTTAAAGAATAATTTAAAGGTAATAAGGTACACTTAGCCTATATTACTAAGCTTTACTATATATTATTTAACTTAATTACCTATAAAAACTATAGCAAGAATAAGCTTAAGATCCTTAAGTTACTTATTAAAAAGGTTACTAAGCTAGTTAAGGTAATAACCTATAATAGCCTACCTAAGGATAAGGATTATTATAAGTGCCTTATTACCTATTACTATAGTATACCTAAGTACACTATAGCTCTCCTTAACCTACTAGCTATATTCTATAGCCTCTATATATAACTATATAATAGAGTAGTAAATACCTTACTTTACTATAAACTACCTATATAATACTCTATAAATAAATCTACTATAGAGGATAAATAATTTTAGGTTAACTATAAGTATAATAGTAGCTATAATAATTATACTAATCTATAGTAAATATAAGGTTCTTTATAAAGTAACTACTATAGTAAAAACTAGTGTAATAATAAATTAACTAAGAAGTACTTTATCTATAGTAAGCCTAGTTACTAGTTAACTAAGTATACTAAAGAAAAGTAATAATCTTTATTTAACTAGTATAAAAGCACCTACTTTATATAAGCTTTACTAGCTACCTTTAACTACTTTTTTCTTAACTATAAAGGTTATAATATAAGTTATCTCTAAGAAGTAAGTAATAGTAATAAATAACCTATTAGTAATAATAATAACTATATAAATATAGTGTTCTTTATATCTACTATCTTTTTTATATAACTATTAATTAATAGCCTAACTATGTTCTCTAAGTTATATAACTAGGTAACTACTTATACGCTTACCTATAAGAACCTACTAGAGAAGCTATTACCTAGTAAGACTATAAAAAATAATAAGATATTTATACTTAATAAGCGCTATTTAGTAGTAACTTTTTATAGTATTATACTTAACACTAGCGTAGCTAAGAAATTAACTACTAGCTATAAGTAATACCTTACTCTCTAGTGCTACTTAAGTAAAAAGATACCTATAGATACTACCTAAGTAAGTAAAGTAAGTATTTACTTTAGTAGTAGTAATTACTTTAAATCCCTAGGGGTAATTAATATATTTACGCTACTTAGTAACCTTGTTTTTTATATAATAACTACTAATACTCTATTTCTCTTTTATTTAAAGGATATAGACTATTATAGTATAAAATTTAATAACCTTACTAACTAGTTAATCTAAGGTAATAACGTTATACCTATTGTCTACTAATTTAGCTACCTATAGATACTTCTATAACTACTAAAGAAGAGTATTACTAAGTAACACCTAATAAACAGTAAATTACACTAAATCTACTAGTAATTTAGCTATCTATCTATTTAGTAACTTTATAAGTTACTTAAATATACTAGAGAAAACACCTCCCTTTTATTAATTAAAGCTATTAATAAGTACTACTACTACTACTAATTATACTCTAAAGCCCTTAGTTACTTTAAGTTTACACTATATAATAATAACAAGTTTAACTATAAGATCCTTATTAATATAATATATCTTAACAGTAATAAACTAGTACTTTATATAGTTAATATAGTAATAGCGTTTAACGTAGTAAGATTCTTATAATCTATTACTATAGAGTATATATAGGAAGTACTATAGATATACTAGATTAACGTATATCTTAGCTTACTTAATTAGATAATAACTAACACTAGCCTAAATTTTTACTTTAGTAAGTTTAAATACACTACCTATAGGTTATCTATTAAAGTAAAAGAAGTACCTATTAAAGCCTATTATAGTATTAGTAAAGTTAAGCACTATTATATACCTTTTTACTACACCTATAAGATTATTTATAAAGAAACTAGCACTAAACCTAAAGTTACCTTTTAACTTACTATTAAAATAATTAATAATACTACTAGCCTAGATAGCCTTATCCTAACTCTCTTTGTTTTTAGTGTATACCCTTAAATAACTAATAAGTTACTACTTACTATAACTACTGCGCAGCGCACTAAAGCTATTAAGAAAGTAATAAATATAGTACACTAGATCTATATAAAATAATAGCTATATAAAGCACTAACTATATATAATAGCCTAGATTTAACTAATACTATTACTTTACCCCTTTAATCCTTTGTTTATATATAGTATAAGAAATATAGCTAGTAAGGCCTATTTTACCTTATTACTAATAATAGTACTACTTATACTATTAATTTACTCTATAGCCTATATAACTTTAAGATTACTATAGTAAAACCCTACTATATAGAGGAAAGTTAACTAGACCTCCCTACGCTAGATAGGCCTACTAGCTACTTTATATAAGCAGAAGATAACCTTATGCACTCTATATAAGCGTAAAAAGACCCTATAGAGATACCTAACGCTAAAAGAAAAGTATATAATACTATTATTATTAATAATAAACTACTATAATAACGTTATAGTTACCTATAAAAAAACCTAATACCTATATTCTTTATAGAAATATACTTTACTATAACTATAGTGTTCTTAACTATAAAAAAAGAGGTAGACTATACACTTACTATTAAGCTATATAAGAAAAAGATTATTACTACGCCTAGTAAACCCTTTAAAGAATCTAATAAGGCAAAGGTAAAAGCCTTTACTAACTATAGTGTATTTTATATTATTACCTATAATAAGAAATCCTATAGTAACACCTATATATTTAAATTATATATAGTCTATAAAGTAAAAGGTAAAAATAAGTAGCCTTATAAGAAATTATAGCTTATTATCTAAGGCTATATAGATAATAGTAAAGAAATAATTCTTATATAGTTACTTACTATCTAGTAAATAGCCTAGTAATTAATCTTTACCTTTGCCCCTTTACTACTTTAACATAGATTTCTCCTCTAGTTATATAATATTACCTAAGCGTATACCTAATTAGTAACACTATTAAATTACATTATTTTTGCTTACTTACCTATGTAAATTTACTATCTTTACCTAGTAAATATAATAATAATAGTAACTAAGCTATTATATAGTATTATAAAGGCAAAAACCTACTAGTAGGCAACTTATAACTACTATTATAAAGAGAATCTTTAGATAAATTTATTAACCTTTAACCTTTGCCTATTAATATTATTACCTAATAATAGTAACTTTAGATTAATTAGTATATAAATAGATAATATAATTAGCCTTATAAATAGTAAATTCTCTACTTATAAAAAGAAGAAGCTTAAGAAGGCTATGTTTATAGTAAAACCTAAGTAGTTACTTATAGCTAATAACTTTATTACCTTTAATAGTAGTATATTATCTATTACTACTAATAGTAAGCTTACCCTTTATTAGAAAGGCTAAGGCAAAAAGCTTTAACTTATTAACAAGAAATTACCTACTGCTTAGTAAGATTATGTCTAGTAATACGCCTATAGCGTATATATTACTTTTATCTACTAACCTAAAGCCTACTTTAACTACTTAGTTACTGCTTAACACTAATTACCTATAGCAGAGGAGATTAAAGCTTTAAACTACTAAATTAAATAGTAAATTAGTAACCTTAACTATAGCCTATAATTCTTACTAATTAACCTTATAACTACTAAGCTTTTTATATTTATTAATAGCTTATTTATAAATAACTATAACTTTACTTTTTAACTTAGCTTTATTATAGTTCTTACTAATAAATAAATTATTAAGTAACCTACTACTAATAGTAAAAGATTTAAATTAACTAGTAATATTGTCTACTTTAGCTTAATAAAGTATAAAAGAGTTATATATAGTATACTTACCTCTAAGGTTTATAGGATAATTGCTAGTACTAATGTTGCCTATATAATTAGTACTACTTTTATAATAATTACTAACTACCTTAAGCTACTATAAATACTTATAATACTCTATACTAACTTATACTTACTTTATAAGTGCCTTATAAAACTTAGTACTATAAAGAGAAGTAACTTATAATAGATATTATAGCCTTTTACTAGTTATATAAATACTATAAGATTTTTAAGATATAGTAAATTTATAGTAGTAATAACCTAGTAGATAGATTTATAAAGTTATTACTAAATAATATATTAAAAAACTAGTTAGTAATAGGCAGTTAAAGATATAGATAAATAGATAGGTTTCTTATATATAATAGGCTATATAAGTAAAGAGTATTAAATACTTTTTAGCTTCTTGTTTTTATTATATTTTTTAGCTATTCTTTTAGATATAAATAATAGGGGATTTCTAGCACTATAGAAAGTTACTAGTGTTATAATATTAACTATTATAGATAAATATTAGAGTTATTAGGTTAACCCTAATAACTTATTACTAGCAAATCCTTAGATATCTAGCTATAGATTCTCTAAGGATTTGTAGGCAATAAGTTAGTTATTTAACTAACTAACCTACAATAATTATCCTTCTTTTCTTTATGTATAATAGAGAACCACAGTTACCCCTATTATTTGTCAATTGCCACTAATATGTACAGTTAACTGTATTAACCTATCCCTTGGTGTTACCAACAGAACCATTTCGAAAAAGAGACAAGTAAGCGTCGCAGCAACTGTGTCACTGCGATCAAATTTTAGTTGAAACAGCCCGAGAACTACTACGGTGTGGGGCGATACATACCTCCCGGCAACTATAATCAGGTGAGAATCCCTATACAGGTTGTCAATGTCTTGCTGTGTAGGCTCCTTGATTGATTCAAAGTCTTCCAAGATCCACGAGAATACATCGGGGCAGGCAGGTTTGTTCTTTGACAATGATTGACCCATCAGCATCTTCCTCGAGCGCTCGGCCTTTGCACGTTACCTTGATTCTGTCATCCACTTGGGACCTGACAAAGTTCCAAAATCGTTTGCTGTTGACATTAAGAATTGGCGTATTCTTGAAAATGGGGAAAAGCCACATCATGTGGCTAAACATGCCAATAGACTGCATATCTCCATGCAACGAGGTCATAAAGTGATGCTTGATGCCCTCCTTGAGCATACCGAAGGACTTCCCGAAAGCCATATCTCCCATGACATCAAAGCTGTAAAAGTTGAACCAGTCCGTAATATTGAATGGCTGGCCCGTATGTGCATCGATCTGTGAAAGTAGCTGGTTGGTATAATCTGCTACCCGGAACTCGTAGTCTCTAAGGGCTAGTTATAGACTCAGCTCACAAGTTCTTATATGATAGGCTTCTGGGACAGGAGGTTACCCTTAGAGCTGAAGCCTTTGTCCCAAGCTTTACGTCTCTGTGTGTGTTCCTGCTTGTCTCGAACAAGCTGCAAGGAATAGCTAGGGTGCAACACCTCGTACCACGGACCTTTGGTGCATGGTGAGCGGTTAGAGTGAATTGCCATGACTGCTTTTGGATTGTTGATAGATAGTTCGCTTGGGCCTAAAGCGTACCATGCAAAGTGAGTAAGTTGATACTCGACGCTCGTGATGCATTGGGAGTCTTACCAATTCTCACGATATCCCCATATTTCCTGTGGAGATCCTGAACTTCCAGATGCAACTGTAATTTTTTGACTGCTTTCGATGTGATCCACAGATTGGAGAGCCTCGCTAGGAAAGGGCCATCAAAAGAATGCAGCCGATGGAATGCCGCGCGGTACACAAGTAGGCTGCTGTACGTTCCGAAGATGAGAGAGGCCGCAAGAGAAGCTGCTGTTTTGAACGCATCCGCATTGCTTTGGAAAGTCTCAGGGGCCAGCCGGGCAAGGGACGCTGTAAGCAGTCCTACGCCCAAGGCGAAGTTCCTGATTAACTTGGTGGTGGCGGTGTCCCATTCACCCTTGCGGAAAACGAATACGTGAAGCTGGATGCCAATCACAAAGAAAAAGGCGTGAGCCAGGAGGGGGCTCAAGTTGTCCATGTTAATCATCGAGAGGTACGACTGATATGAGGCGTGCGGTTTTGGGGAGAGAGGGGATGGTTGAGAAACGTCCAACACATTTCAGGGCCTCGGACTTTGTAGATATAATATGCTGGCAGTGGGGTTCCACTGAGTGACGAGATAGACCATTCTGATAACGACAAACTAAGACAGCAGCGCGTCGCCTTTGTCCCATGACCAACAATCAACCTATTTGGGCGCGATGCAGGTGATTGGCAACAATACGCAGTCGATGTTTTACAGCGGAGCATAACTTGCAGCATGCCACAAAGTGCGTCAATTGCTTGGCAAACAATAGCGTCATTTTTACGACAGTAATGAGACCAACGGATCTACAGCTATTATGCCTTATTGGTGTAAACGAAGTGTTACACTGCGTATTATAAACCCTGTAGGCTTGATTCTTGCAGAGACCTCTATCAGATGAGGCAGAATTAAACACCTGGACTTTGGAGAGATGTACCCCATCAAAACATTGATAAGAGTTGAGCAGTGTTGCGCTTGCCGCAGGTAAAAGCGTCAACAAAGCAGCACGTAGACGTAACGTTGACTCACCATCCACTGTTCAGAACAGGATCCACCTCAACAACCAATAACTGAAGTCTGTCTAGACACTCTTTCTCAGCAGCACTTACAATTCTCCTATACAAATCAACATCGGGATATTAAAGAAAGAAAAAAGTTGGCTCTATTTTGTCGTAGGAACTGGTGTAATTATACGAAGACGTGCAAATGCCAGTGTCTATATTTCTTGTAATATTTTAGCAAGTAATTATACGTTGTTTCACCCGACTGAAGTTGTGTACTTTTGGTATATAGTCTGGTGCTGTATAAAGTGAGGGGGTGTACAAGGGGTGACCAGACTTAATTGGACAACACATCTTGTTAATCATGCATGTGGCGCGATAAGTTGGCATTTAACTAACTGGATTCGACGTATTAGCACGTTGGGCAGGGCTTAGGATGCAATCATTTGTGATGGTCTCACTGGCCCGTGGAAGGAATCCCATTCTTGCCATATTACAGGAGTCGACCCTTGATCGTCGACAAACGCTGGCTCGGCATATCGGGAAGAATCGTGGGGTTCCCCGATGACAGGGCCATGGGCGATTAGATTCGGGGGAGCTGTCAAAAGGGTCTTTGCCCGCCTCCCCAGGTCTAAAGGGTCTCAAATACGGTACTTTCTCCACTGTAAATCTCTCAGGTCGCGGGGAGGCTCTCGAGCGGGTTTCCGCACCACGGAACGGGACTGAGTAGCTCTAGAATCTCTACATTGGTGACAGGCACGGCCATACCGTAGACACTCGCGTGATTGGGACAAAGCTAAGGAGCCCGCTAACGGCAAGGAGTATCGCGGGCCGCTGTAAGGAGTATAGTGTGCTGGCAAAAACAGGGATCTGTATATGTCTATTTTCTTACGTAACGGTTGTATTACTACTAACGGCGGGCTGGCTAGTGGGAAACAGAGGGTGGAAAGGATGACCGCCTTCTACGTTAGGACTAGTGTCGCCGATAACTACTAGCTGTTATAGGATATCTGCTAGCTATATCTGGCTAGCGGGCTTCTTAGCTTTCTCCTAACCTTGCGAGTGTCTACGGTACACTAGTTTGCGCCTTCGACAGCATGCGCCGGGAGTGCCAGCATGCCTTGAGTTGAAAGAAATGCTGAGATGGTCAGTTAACCTATCTCGACACGAGCACCTGTTATAAATCATCCCTACTCTGGCTCTAAGTAATACAGGCGATGTTATGCCGGCTCCAATGGTAACAATGTCGCCAATTCTTTGCTGATGATGAGCAATATGTACGCAAAAAGTCGGATTGGTTACGATCTGCCAGACCCCAAGACCACAACGTGGTGTTGCTAACCTTCGCGGCCACCTGATTGCCCTGCGACTTTGCTGCCGGATCTTAGCCACGCAAGTCTGCGAAGACGGGGGCCCTAAGATGCATTTTGGGATAGGAAAGGGCACTGGTGGGAACGCGTTCACGCACCGCCCCTAATTAGTGTGGCAGACGCAAAAAACACTGCCTATGGTGGGAAAGGATGAGTAATCAAGCACGATTATAAAATTTCTTGCAAGGTAACTTGAATGCATGACGCATCTCGCACGAGGCATCCAGCGTGAGGCACGCTATATCACGTGGCACGACGCACCTTCTGGTCGAGTTAGAGTTTTTTAATCAACAAACACGGTCAGTTAAGGGCGGAAACATCGGACGACCAGAGAGGAGCGGCACGCTGCCGAGTTCGCGGCAGAGGCGCAGTCTGTGCTGTCAGCATTGACGGCCAGAGCTAGCAGCTCGTCGGCAAAGGTACGTACGTTACCTTAACCTCGGCCGATCAATCTACCGGTACTCATTCGCGTTTCAACATTTGCCTCCGTCTCAGTTTTGACTTGGCTGCCACGCGGGTTCCGACAAACACCGCCGGTCCCTCAGGGGCATCTTACCCAAGCTTGCATGCAGTATTGACCGGCCGAGTATTGTGGGACCCTGCGTGGCTGCGTGCTGTGAAGGACGAGCGCATGCCTATGAGGGGTTCTTCATCGGGGAGCTATCCCGAATGGCAATGGGCTCCTACTGTGGCCCCCGCCTCCCGCGGAGCCTACACCGTTCTGCGGATAGTCTATGTATATCGTGGATCATTGACGGTTGTCGTAGCGTTGACAGTGGGGTCCCGGTCGGCGTAACTCGGTTGAAGATATGGAATCCTTGCATCGACCACCCTGTATGTACTTGCTTTGCTCTCCACGTCCTCCACTATTAGCTGTCCCTCATTATGTGAGCAATTGGTAACCCCTCTCGCGTAAATTGAGATGGGAGGAAGGGTACGGAGTAGAGGAGGCAAAGTCAGGGACAATTGCAAGTATCGCCTGCCCGCTTTCTTTTCTACACCTCTTCTCTCTCTACTTTGTTCGCCCGATCTTTGTTCAGCCAAGTATCAACATACCAAGCCCGGACCGCCACGTAACTTTCCGTCTCTGCCAAACAATCGCCCATCATGGCCACCAACGGTACGTCCAAGCTGGATTGGACCAAATTCTACAATGTTATCGACGGAAAGCTCGAGACCACGAGCAAGAACAGACACAACCTGAACCCTTCGACGCTCGAGGCCAACCCCGAGGTCCCTGTCTCTAGCCCCGAAGATGTCGACAGAGCAGTGCAGGCTGGAAAGAAGGCTCAGGAGGCCTGGGCCGAGACCCCCTATGAAGAGCGCCAGAAGGCCCTTGCTAAGCTCGGCGAAGCTCTCGAGGCGCACGCGGAAGAGTTTGCGCTGATGCTCACCAAGGAGCAGGGCAAGCCTGTGAGTCGCCGAGGAACATGCAAATATCTCGAGCTTCATCCATGCTAACCCGCCATGTGCCCGGGTAGCTCCAATTCGCACTGTTCGAGGTCAGCGAAGCCGTCAAGCACTTCAAGGGAATGTCCAACCTGCCGTTCCCTGAAGAGGTTGTAGAGAACAACCCAGACCGCCGGGTTATTACGAGATACACGCCCTTGGGTTCGTGGATCCGTCCCTCAACCATATCACTTGGATTATGAAACTGATTAAGGATCAAGGCGTCGCCGTCGGCATTGTCCCCTGGAACTGTAAGTCTCTAGCTAGTGTTTCCCAAAACTTGCAAGAGGTCAAGTTACTAACAGTTCCCAGTTCCCATCCTTCTCGGTAGGCGTCTTCCGAATGTATCCATCACCGACTTCGTACTGATGCAAAAACATAGCCTGTGGCAAGATCGGTCCTGCTCTGGTCACCGGAAATGCCTTCATCCTCAAGCCCTCGTAAGCCTGCATCATCTGTGCCTCACGAAGCCGCACACTAAACGTCACCTAGCCCCTTCACTCCTTACTGCGACCTGAAGCTCGTCGAGCTCGCTCAGCAGTTCTTCCCTCCTGGTGTTTTCCAGGCGCTGAGCGGCGACGACAACCTTGGACCATGGTTGACTGCCCACCCTGGTGTCGATAAGGTCAGCTTCACTGGCTCAACCGCGACCGGAAAGCGTGTGATGGAGAGCTGCAGCAAGACGCTCAAGCGCGTTACTCTGGAACTGTAAGTGGCGTCACTACGTCGTTGAGCTTGCTGGTACCGAGACTCACCCGTGAACCTGCAGTGGTGGAAACGATGCGGCTATCGTGCTACCGGACGTGGACGTCAAGGCAGTCGCGCCCAAGGTCAGTCGGCGTCAGTACTCGTCCGTTTGCAGCTCGTGCTAACCTGCGCCAGATTACAATGCTGGCTCTGTACAACTCTGGACAGGTACGTTTGCTCCAATAACCAAAGACTCGTTCGTGGCCACTTGGTGCAATTTGCTGATAATGCCATGATCAGGTCTGCATCGCTATCAAGCGCATCTACATCCACGAGGATATCTACGAAGAGCTCCTCGCCGAGATGGCCAACGTTATCAAGAGCTTTCCCGTCGGCGACGGCCAGCAAGAGGGCACGGTCCTGGGCCCCGTCCAGAACCAGATGCAGTTCGAGCGCGTCAAGGAGCTCCTCAAGGACATCGAGGAGCAGAAGCTCAAGATCGCCGCCGGGTCCACAGCGCCTGCATCCAATGGCAAGGGCTACTTCATCACGCCCACGATGGTCGACAACCCGCCCGACAACTCCAGGATCGTTGTTGAAGAGCCTTTTGGTGAGTGAAACGCATGCAGACGAAAACCTAACTGCCTTCGCCTTCCCCTTTTTTTCTCCCAAAATTCTCAACCAAACTGACGTGGGGGGTATCTCAGGTCCCGTCTTCCCCGTCTTGAAGTGGCGCGACGAGAAGGAGGTTATTCACCGCGCCAACGACAGTCTCATGGGTCTCGGCGCCTCGGTGTGGTCCAAGGACCTTGAAAAGGCGGAGAGCGTCGCCAAGAAGCTCAAGGCCGGCAACGTCTGGATCAACACCCACTTGGAGCTGCAGTACAACGCGCCTTTCGGCGGTCACAAGCAGAGCGGTATCGGATACGAGTACGGTGCTGGCGGTCTGAAGGCGTATTGCAACGCGCAGTCCCTGTACATCACAAAGCCATGAGCTGATAGGCCTCCTCGTTGCGCCGCATCTACGCGCC